ATTGGGATGTCCCGGTGTCTTCCTCCTACAGGTGAGGTTCGAGGAATGTTTGGACAACTCTCTGACACACACGGTGGGATTTTGGGCTTGTCCTGTGCAGGGCTAGGAGCTGGACTCAGTAATCCTTGTGGGTCCCTTCCAACTCAGAATATTCCATGATTCTATGAGCTGAGGGAAGGAGGCTCTACCCATTCYCAGGGAAGATGGTGGTGCTAGAGAAAGAAAAGCACAAGAAGGGGCTGCCTCTGCCACCAGGTGGTCAGTGTTTTGGGAGCCACCAGAGCCCTTTGGTGAGGCCAGGTTGGAATCCAAGGAGAGCCAAGAACAGCTGCAGGTAGATTTTGTGTAATGCTTTGAAAAGTAAAACATTCTGATGTGGTTCTGGCAACTGCTAAGGAGGGCTCATCCACCAAAGCACCAGTCCATGGCACATGTGGCTCCCATGGAGATCCTTCCCATGAGATAGCTCTTCTCAGCCAGTCCCACCTGGCAGAAGTTCACTGAGAGTGTTTAGGGCTGACCAAACGCCAGTGGGAAAGATCATGGAATATAGAATGGCTTTGCTTGGAAGGGACCTTAAAGATCATACCCTTAAAGACGACCATGGAAGAGACCCCATGGATGTGGTGCTCCCATGCAGGGTATCACTGTGCTCTCTGCACACACACATGGTTTTTACAAATGTCTCCAGCAACAGAGGAGGAACTGGACCAGTTCCCACACATAGCTGAGCTCCCAGAGAAACCCATCCTTCAGGGACACCTGAACAGAGCCACTGTGCCCTGGCACATGCAGCTCTTCCTTTTCTGGACAGAAATCCCAGGTATGATACCAGGATTTCCAGTGACAGCCAGTCAGTTGTGTCCCAGATAAATCACAGAATCACAGCCTGGGTTGGGTGGGAAGGGACCTTAAAGCTCACCACGATCCACCCCCTGCCATGGACAGGGACACCTTGCACTATCCCAGGTTGCTGCAAGCCCTGTCCAACCTGGCCTTGGACACTTCCAGAGATCCAGGGCAGCCACAGCTGCTCTGGAAAGTCTGTGCCAGGGCCTCCCCACCCTCACAGGGAAGAATTTCTTTCCAATATCCCATCTAACCCTACCCTCTGGCAGTTTAATTCCACAGCATCAATTCCACAGTTTCTAAATTGATTTCTTTGATGACATCTTTGCCTGTGACAGTAAAGAGATGTGAGCTATCAGAAATCATCTCTTGATTTATCTGCCATGAATATTCACTTAATTCCAGCTCATGTGACACATGGACTTTCTTGAGCACATCCAGAAAGAGGCACTGGCCCAAGCCCCACCCTTGAGCTGGGTTATACTTCTACTCACTAGCAACACAAAATGAAGATTAATTAATTACTGCATCACCAAGATGGGAATTTGGCTGCCAAGTGTGGAAAGGCTGGGGCAAAGCTCATGTCTATTTTGGGCTGTTTATAGTCTGCTTCCTAGTTACCCAAGTTTGCCCTTTTCATCACTAAGATGTATTATTATTTAGTTAAAATATTTCTAAAAATACCCACTTCTCCCAATATTTAGGTGGGAATGGAGGTGTCTGGAGCCAGTTCGAGAACAGGGCAATGACTACAAGAACAGTGAGATGGGCAGAAACTCAACCTTTCCCTTCAAAATACCTTATTTTGTACTTTGGAGGAATTCCTGCATATCCCAGATAACAGGCAATGTCACATATGGAGATTCCCATCAGAAGACATGGAAGAACAGCAGTGAGAATATGGAAAGGACTTGGAACTACTCAAGCAAGTCCAGAGGAGGCCGGAGAGATGCTCTGAGGGCTGGAGCCCCTCTGCTCTGGAGGCAGGCTGGGAGAGCTGGGAGTGTGCACATGGCGAATAAGAGGCTCTGGGGACAGCTTAGAGCCCCTTCCAGTGTCTATGGGGGCTCGAGGAGAGCTGGAGAGGGACTGGGAACTAGGGATGGAGGGACAGGACAAGGGGGAATGGGTTCCTACTGCCAGAAGGCAAGGTTAGATGGGATATTGGGAAGGAATTGTTCCCTGTGAGGGTGGGGAGGCCCTGGCACAGGGTGCACAGAGAAGCTGTGGCTGCCCCTGGATCCTTGGCAGTGTCCAAGGCCAGGCTGGACAGGGCTTCAAGCAACCTGGGATAGTAGAAGGTGTCCCTGCCCATGGCAGGGGGTGGAACAGGATGAGCTTTAAGGTCCCTTCCCACCCAGACCATTCCATGATTCCATGAACTATGGACAGACAAACTTGCTGTAGTTCAAGGACAAAAATCTGCCCTTCTGTCCCTCCCTACTGAAAAGACGTCACAGACACAGGATAACATCTTCCAGATGTTCATAGGACCAGTCCCACTGGAATTACATCCCATTTCTTCCCCACCCTCGTGCCTGTACTTCTCCCCTGCCAGGCTCACACCTCTGTTTCTGGCTTGCAAAAGTATCTCTTGATGCCGTAAATCAGGAATGCCAGGCACTGTGTGGGTTTGTGATGCAGAATACTGGGAAATGTTGAAGGAGAGGGGCTCAGATGGACATCAGTGGGGTGATGTCTGCACACCCTGGGGGAATGCCAGCCTTGTGGGAGTGCAGCCACCATGCCTGTGCTTGCTGGCACAGAATGAAATCTGCTGATACATGAGAAGGATTTGTCATCGGAGGCCTCAGAGCTCTGAGCAGCTGGGGGAGAGCTCAGCACCTGCCTGGGATGCTCTGGATGGCTCCATGTTCTCATTCCGTCCTGCAGCAAAACACAGCCCTGGGGCTTCCTCAGACAGAGGTGACCATTGGCTACCTGCACTGGTTTTTGTGACTATTCCTGTGCTCCAATGATTCCATCCCATCCCATCCCATCCCATCCTATCCCATCCCACTCCATCCTCAGGCCCCATGGCAGAGCACAGCCCTGCCCCACTACCAGCATGATCTGATGTAGCAGCACTGCAAGCTGACGTTTTCTAGGTGCTAATCCCAGATTCTAACAATGCCAGGGATGAAGGGGTGAAGGATATATTTTTTCATGGTCTCCAGGGATTGAAATAGAAGAAGAAAGTCAGTTCTGCCCTATCCAGTTACTGTAATGCAATCAAACAGGGCCACATTCACTGACAAACTTGGCCCATGGCCAATTCGCTTTGTCTTCTGCAGTCTGAATCTCCTGAGCTCAGAGAGGAGCAGGAGAGCTTTTCCAGGGCCCCCATGCTGCTCTTCCCACCTGACAGAGCCCTAGACTCTCTCCTAGGTGTCTCTCCTCCCCAGGCCATCCCTTTCCACAGCCCAAGTCCTCTCCCACAGGACACACACTCTCAGGCATTTCCAAACAACATTATGTTTAACCAGGCAATTCCCCAGTCTCCTTTTAACAAAACCTACAAATTTCCTCCCTTCCTCCTGGTCACAGACACTTCCCTATACTAATTCCCAGTCAACCCATCTTCCAGCAGTTAAAAGTGAAATAGCATCATGAGCAATGTCAAACTCAAATCCCCACACCTGAAAAAGAAGATTTTTTAGTGTCAGCTCTCAGGATCACCTGCAAACCGATGATCACTGGGATGACTGGTCCCACAAAACAGCATTTCCCTCTCAGGCAGGTTTGTCATGCAGCACCTACACTTCCCCTCCACAGGAAAATTTTCCACTGGTGAGGAAATCAAGGCAGAGCTCTCGTGGTAAGGGGCACTGCACTCACTGTCCCCTAGCTCACACCAAGCACCACATACAGAAGATGAAGGCTGTGTCTTGTCCTTAGAGCCAGAGGGAGCTCCCAGGACAGGAGTGTGGGGAAATATATAACCCCTTGTTCAGCTCTCCAAAATCAACCTTCAGTTATTTCTCCTATATGTGCAATTCTCATTCCCACTCCTCCCAATGTTTAGAGGGGAATAGGGGTGCCCAGGCCACAATCAGGAGAGGATCATCTATATAAACTTCATAAATATCTGCAAAGAGAAATTTCCAAGTGCTCTGGGGTAGTTACAGCTTGATTACTCAGCTGGAAGACCCAGGGTACAGCTGGGTAACCTGGAATAGATCCGGAATCAGAGCCAGAGCAGAAGGGTTATGCACATAATCCTGGGCTTTGCTTGTGCTGCCAACAGTCCCCAGCCCTGCCCTGGCACACAAGAGGCGAATCCTGCCCGGGACACGAAACCTGCCCATGACCACATGGATCAATCGCTGAAAAGTTGCTGTCTTTCACTTTCTGGCTCAGCCTGCCATAAAAAAAAACAGGGAAACCAGATGCTTCCATGCACAAAGCACATACCAAATATTCTTAGTGCTGAGGTTAACAAATGTTACAGAAAAGTGGGACTGACTCCTACTAAGTCCCATGGACTTTGTGCATGGCACAGAAAGAGGAGAGGGACTGGCACAAAGCTCTTGAGCTCCAAGCAAACATTAAAAGGATTTGCCAGGTGCAGGGAGGGAGATAAATGTACCCAAATCAAAATAAAAAAAAGGAATTTTAAGTGAACAATAAAGTGCAAAACAAACAGCATGGGTAAAACCTACTTCTTGGGGTGATTTCCACAAAGCAGCAAACTTTTTTATTCCATAAGAACCAGAAACAGACTGTTTAAGTATTTGCACAAGAAAGGACCAAGAGTCCAGAGATCTCCAAAGGAAAAAAAAAAAAGATAGAGAAAGAAATGCTGCCTGTGGGATTGTGTTCACTGCACTGGACCCTCCAGCTGCCTCCTGGGAACCCCAGCTCTGCTCCCAGCCCTACCTAGGGATGTTAGAACAGGGGCAGGGAGAAAATCTCTGGCACCAGCACAGGTTTTGGCTTTGCTAGTAACACTGGGATTTTACAGGACACCCTGTTCCCTCCCAGAGTGCGTGGACCAGCTCCCTGGTCTCTCCTGGACAGCTTTTCCCCATCAGTATGCACATTCCCTTCTCGGGTTTTGTGTTTTCCATCTCGTCCCTCACTCAGCCCGGGGAGGGGGGTTGAGGTGTGTCCCCACCTTTCCCACAGCAGCAGTGGAAGATGCAACTTACGTCTATCGAGTGCTCCCGCTGCAGGAGCCTCCTGGTGCCCTTGTCGTGGTGGTTGAGCTCCGCATCACAGTTCTGTGGGCCAGGGGAGGAGTTTTCCGATTGGTTTTTCTGACTGCGCTCCACAGGGATGCTCCCATCTGCATCCACCACATCCAACTCCTTTTCCAGCTCCTCCATCTCCTCTGGAGACAAAGTAGACAATAAATTGTCTATATCTGGATCTTCACTAACTTGTCGCCGGTATTTGGCCACTTTGGACATCTTGGCTCTCTGGCGAGACACGGTGGCGGTTGTGTGGTACCCAAAGCAGGAGGAAAAAAGGAAGCCGAAGCTCCAAGGCTGCTTCCCAAGTGGCAGCAGATGCTGAAGTGTTAAATCTCAGCAGCTCTGCAGCCCGGGATATGGTGGTTATCCAGAGGGGACACCCCTCAGTCCAAGAGTTGGCCAATAACAGGATCCAGTGGCAGTTCGGGCACTGGGAAGCCAATGGAGCCCGGCGGGAGGCGGGGAATGGTGCTATCAGAGGAGCCTGAAACCCGAGGACATTCCAGGGAGCCATGCAGAGCTACATGACCAAATTTAGTCCGAAGCATTTCGCCTTTTAAAGGCAATGGGCCAACCCAGTGAGAAAACATGGAAAAATGCACCAGCCAGCAGGCCGGGGATGGGGGTGGGGGAGGCAGCCCCAGCCTATGCCATGGGAACTGGGGGCTACTAAAGTGGGCAGCGTAGATACGAAGGGATGGGGGGAGCCTCTGCTGTGACAGTGTCAGCTCTTGGCTGAAATCAGCAAGGAAACACCGACTCCAGGGAAAGCTCTCGCTCTTTATCCTGTTGCAATCTGGGATCCGTGCCGTTGGCAGAGGCACTCAGCCCCTCGGAAAGAGGTGGAGGATAGTGGTGCTGGGGCAGCCTGGTTCCATCGGAGGGATGGAGCAGCAGGTAGTGAATGCTCCCGGCGCTGCAGATCTGACCCCCCGGGGACTGTCAGAGCTCCTGCCGACTCTCAACCCTGAGGGGCTGTTCCTGCAGCTGCTGTTCCACACACACTCCCACTCCCCTGGCCAAGCCCCAAAGACATCCCTCCTTCGGCACAGATGGAATGCCTGAGTCTCCCCTGCTGCTGGTCCCGGTGGTGCCCTAAGCCTGGGCTTTGGCTGGCGGCACCAACTTTCCATCTCCCTAATCCATCAAGAAGCTTTACTGGCACCTGGGAGTTCTCCTGTATGCAGGGACAGAAGGAGACAGGCTCTTCTCTCCGAGTTTCCAGGCAGCTTTACCCCATATCCAACATTTTGTAGCCATTTGTTATCCTGCCAGCTTCATCCTGGTTTTCTTCATTCTTTATCATCCTCTTAATATTTACTGCTTGCTCTTATCCAAGCAAGGAGCCCTTTGGTCTTTTTTGATAAAATAAGCTCCCCTAGGATTTTCCTCAGCCTTATCACCTCCTCTGCCTGTGTCCCTGGCCAGATGCCATCCTACATGCAGGCAATAGGTGCTCCAGGTGAGTCTCCCAGTGCCGTGTGTTACAAATTAGACATTCCCCATCCTGACAGGAAATGTACATTCTTGGTGCATTCCAGGATTTCCTTTATCTCCAGCACTTCAGTGCTCAGGTCCTACTGTCCTGCTCATATCCTCCCTATGATTCACCAGCATGGCTAAGATTTTTTCCAGATTGTAGAAGAAACTGCTGGGTTTAGTTTCCAAGTGCACAAACTTAAACATTGCCATGGTGGATTCCATCCCCATCACTTCTGTCTCCCTGATCCTGCAACCCTGGTCTTGGTGCTCATCTGCACTGGGAGGGACACAGACATTCTCTTCCCCTGCTGGTCTCAGACACAGAACCATGGGATGGTTTGGGTGGGAAAGGGACCTTAAAGCTCACCACATTCCACACCCTGCCATGGGCAGGGACACCTTCCACCATCCCAGGCAGCTCCAAGCCACGTCCAGCCTGGCTTTGAATGCTTCCAGGCATGGAGCAGCCCCAGCTTCTCTGGGCAACCCATGCCAGGGCCTCTCCACCCTCACAGGGAACAGTTCCTTTCCAATATCTCAGCTATCCCTGCCCTCTGGCAGTGGGAAGCCATTCCCCCTTGTCCTGTCACTCCAGTTCCTGATAAAAAGTCACTCTCCATCTTCCTTGAGTCTCCTTCCCCAACATTGCCACAGCTGTGACAGTGCTGAAGGCAACAGAAACCACAGTAACCTTAGTGCTTGTTGTCCATTTGCTGCCGTTTTTGCCTGAAGACGCCAAATGAATGTCTTGCTTGCTCCTCCTTAATACAGCCCTGGACCTCTCTAAGGTCCTGTCTGGTCACTTTTCAGGATACAAGGCTGGAAATGTTTTCATACTGTGCATTTTGGAAGAAAAATTTGAGTTACAGGGTCTGGGGATGGAAGAAATTAACTGACAGGAGGGTGCGTCCAGGTGGGTGTCAGGCTCTGCTCCCAGGGAACAAGAGACAGGACAAAAGCAAATGTCCTCAAATTGCACTGAGGGGGTTGAGGTTGGATATCGGGAAAATTTCTTCCCTGAAAGGATTGCCCAGTCCTGGCACAGCTGCCCAGGGCAGTGGTGGAGACTCCATCCCTGGAGGGATTTACTGGGTTAGTGGTAGTGCTGGGGGAACAGTTGGACTTGATGATCTTAGAAGGCTTTTCCAACCTACAAGAATCCATTATGCTATTCCATAAATGTCCAACCCTCCAGTATTTCTATGGTGGTGCTGTGCACAGCCTTCAAGTGCTTGTAAGAGGCAAGCAACAAACTAGAAACTCATTTCCCAACTGGAAAGCATACAATAAAAAGGTGGTGAGGAATCACATCTCTGTGTCTGCCTCTTCTAAGAACAATCCCAGCATCCCCAGGTACGTTCCAGGGACAGGACATGTAGACAGCCCCAGGGATGATCTGCAATGCTATACCAGAGAAAGAATCATTCTAACTAAAAGAAAAATCTGGAAATTTCTCTGTCTGCCTTTCCTTCATAGTAAATCGTTGCAAACTTCCTCATGCTGTAAACTGATTTTCAACAGAAAAAAAATCACTATCAACAACTTGACAAAATCTCTATTTTGTCATTCCTGAATCTTGATTCCTGTGATGAGGAATTTCATAAGAAGCTCTTAATGTGGCTCGGGAGACTCCAAGTTTCTCCTGAAGAATCACCCATCCTTTCCTGAACCAAGAGTTCACAGCTCTGCTGAACTCAGAGGCACTGAGCTGGGCAGAGGTAGCACAGAGCATACTTTTCTATTCCTATGTATTTCTACATTAGCAGAAAATCTGGGAGAGAAGCAGGGGACACCTGTCATGATTTAGAGTGGATGGTCTCACTGTGTTTATCTTGGCCATCACACAGCCCTTTTTAACTGGGATATTGGCACAGTTCAGTTGCACCGTATTCCATAGGGTTCTTGGGGCTGTAGAAAGGAAATACTAGAAAGAAATTTTCTTTTGTTTCACCCTAGAATAAGAGGACCTCTGGATTTGTCTGCACTGGCTGGTCCTTCATGGGCTACCAACAACTGTGATGTGACTGGGGTTGTGTTTGGAGATCCTTGGGCCATGCTCCAGAGCTGGTTCCAGCCACCACAGTGTGGAATAGGGAAGTACAGGATACTAGAACTCCAGAATTGCTGGGGTTGGAAGAGACCTCTAGAGATCACCCTCTTGCCCAAGCAGGGTCACCTGGTGACACAGGAACACTTCCAGATGGATTTGGAATATCTCCAGAGAAGAGAGACTCCACACTTTCCATGGGAAGTTGTTCCAGTGCTTTGTCCTCCTCCATGGATAGAAGTTCTTCCTCATGCTGAGGAGGAAGTTCTTGTGGTTTAGTTTATGGCCATTGCTCCTCATCCTGTTGCTAAGCATCATTGAAGAGAGCCTGGCACTTTCCTATGACACCCTTGGAGATATTGAGCTGGATTGATGGAATCCCCTCTCAGTGTTCTCTGGACTAACCAGGCCCAGCTCCTGCAGTCTTTCCTCATCAGAGAGATGCTCCAGACCCCATGTGGTTCAGAGGAGTGCAATACCATGTAGTTTGGCATACAGGAGCTCCTGGCAGCTCTGAATCTGCCAGTCCTGAATTTATCAGGATCCCATCTCCTTAGCAGCCTCGAGGGCACTAATGAATATTTCCAAACCACTCGATTTGAAGCACCACAACAAGCCATTAGAGAGAAGGGACAGAGGCAGAGGCAGATTAAGCAGCTTTTCCAGGTGTCTTTACCAACTCCGGCAGAGCTGAGAAAGCTTTCAGTGCCCCCATGTCTCTCATTACCACCTTAACCATCCATTTGCCTTTATTTTTCCCTATTAGCTGATACAGGACAGCTGAACTTTGGATGGATCAGTTTTGGTTTTCTTTCCCTTTCCTTCACAGCCCACATGAAGAGAGGTTAAAAACTGATCTTTTAATCTTTTTCCTGTTTTACTGTTAGAGTGACAACTATTTGCTGAAGAGTGACATTTCCCTGCCTGGCCACCATAGGCGGTGGTCTTGTGGCCAGTGAGAGAAATTGCTTCTCTCCCAAACCCAATAGCATCTTTATCCAAAACGTCCTCCCCAGATACATGTTCACATGACAGCAAGACTGGAGACAACATTACATTTTGGGAAACTAACCAAATCCTGAAAATCCAGAAATCCTAGAAAGCTCTTGGACATCTTCCCTGAGCTTGCCTGGCGATGCCACCAGCTCTGTTGGGTGATGCTGAAGCTCCTGCACCTCATGGACTGACCATGTTTCACCAATTCTCACATAGCTTGTGAAAGGTGGGACCAGAATGACAGTTCAACCTGATTGAATTACCCTGCTACTCACTGGGGAAAGGCCAAGGGCTATGGCAAAGAACTGCCACCTTGAAAAGGGTCAGACTTTGAGAATCACAGAATYGTWKAGTTTGGAAAAGCCCTCTCAGTTCCCCGAGCACTTTCAAGGCCACCACTAACCCATGCACCCAAGTGTCCCATTCACATGCTTTTTTAATCCCTCCAGTAGTGATTACACCACTGCCCTGGGCAGCCTGTGCCAGGGCCTGACCACTCTTTCCAGGAAGAAATTTTCCYCAGTATCCAACCTGARCCTCCCCTGGCACAGCTTGAGGCTCTTGTGCTGTCCCTGTTCCCTGGGAGTAGAGCCCAACCCCCCGGCTGCCCGTCCTGTCAGGGAGTTGTGCAGAGCCACAAGGTCTCCCCTGATCCCCCTTTGCTCCAGGCTGAGCCCCTTTCCCAGCTCCYTCAGTTGCTCCTGGTGCTCCAGACCCTTCCCCACCTCTATTCCCTTCTCTCTCCTTCCCTCTAGCCCCTCAATGTCCTTCCTAAATTGAGAGGCCCAGAACTGACCCCAGGATTTGAGGTGTAACACCAGCACCACCCTGAACAGGTGGATGGAATCACAGCAGTACCGAAGGAGAAGTGGAAGAACTGCTCTAGTGGCTGGAGATGCTGACATTGCCTACTTTTCCCATCTCCCCTTCTTGGCCACAATACCACCTCCCAAAAATCTCAAAAATTGCATGAACCCTACCCTCCCACCTGAAATCGGGCCAACCACACCTGTTCATCTAACCCCAGGAGTCTTTTAAAGCCTCAAAACCCAACACGGCAGATGGAGCATTCCAGCTCCTTCACAGTGTTTCAGCCAACTAAGTCCTTGGATATCACCCTACAGTCAGTTWTCCCTACTGGATGATTCGCTGCCCTTGCAGGTGAGCAGAGCATGGTTAAATTAGAACTAGAAAAGAATAAACAATTTACAACTTAGAGTGGCTGCAAACCACTGAGTGGGGGAAGGCTCCAGGGCAGAAAATGAGACTCCGGGGACCTTCTCGCCCTCTACAACACCCTGACAGCAGGGTGGAGATGGATGGGGATAGGGCTCTGCTCCCAGGGAACAAGTGATGGGATAAGAAGGAAGAGTCTCAGCTTGTGCCCAATTGTGCAGGAATTTCTTGCCAGCACAGACACTGTTCTCTGGATTCCAGCTCTGTCTGCCCAGGGAACTGAGCTGGTGATAGGGGTTAAATCCCAGGTCCCAGCTATGTGCAAAACCACAGGAGCATTCCCTGGGAGATGTGAGGTCAGCCCAGCTCATACAGCAGCATCAGGAATGACATGGGCTAGGACCTTGACATTCCAGGCCAGGTTGGATAGGACTTGAAGCAACCACGTCTAGTGGAAAATGTCCCTGCCCATGGCATGGGCTGGAAYGGAATTAGCTTTAAAGTCCCTTAAAACCCAAACCACTCCATGATTCCATGAAACTTGGAGTAGAGCGGTTTGTATTTGGAGCAGCTTGCATAGTTACTGTTCCTAAAAGAACTGGAGAGGGACTTTGGACAAGGGCCGGGAGTCACAGGACAAATGGCTTCCCACTCACTGCCGTAGGAGAGGGTTAGATGGGATATTGGGAAGGAATTCCTCCCTGTGAGGGTGGGGAGGCCCTGGCACAGGGTGCTCAGAGAAGGTGTGGCTGCCCCTACATCCCTGGAAGCGTCCAAGGCCAGGCTGGACGGCGCTTGGAGCAACCTGGGACGGTGGAATGTGTCACCGCCCATGGCGGGGAGCGGCACTGGAGGGGATTTAAAATCCGTCCCACACAACCGAACCYGCGCTGCGCCATTTCTCCCCTGACGGGCCGGCGGCACCCCCGCCGTCACGTGCCTGTCAATCATGGCTGGGGGCGGGGCCGGGGCATGACGCACGCATAGACAGAATCCTACCTCCCGTCTAGTCCCGCCCCCCGCTGCTATTGGCCGGCGCCGGGCCGCCGCAGCCAATCGCGCGCGGGGAGGCCGGGGGCCGGGCAAGATGGAGGAGTACGCGCGCGAGCCCTGGTGAGGGGAGCGGCGCGGGGCCGGGATCGGGATCGGGATCGGGATCGGGATCGGGATCGGGATCGGGATCGGGATCGGGATCGGGATCGGGGTCCACGAGCCCCGGAAAGTTGTGGGGGAGCGTTGCGGGAGCGCTTCGGGGCCGCTCCCCGTCGTGGGGGACGGGGATGACCTTGGTGGGGCCCCATGAGGGAGGCGGTGGAGGCCGTGCCGCAGGCCGCGGCCGCGGGGCCCTCTCGGGGCCTGGGCAGCCAAACCCCGCCGCTACCGAGCCCCGCGCGGCCTTCCGAAGCGACGGGGAGCCGGCGGGGCCCTGCGGCCTGCTCCGCTCGTGTGCCTCCGAGGGCTGCGGGCCCTGCAGTGGCGGTTTCGCATCGGGCAGCGCTTCGGACCTTCAGCACCCCCTTACTCGCAGCCCCACCTCGGTCCCTCATCCTCAGCTTCCCTTCCAGCCTTCCATTATCGTCATTGCCTCTTCATTCTCAGTCCCCGTCGGTCTTGGCCCCCCATCCTCAGCTTCCCTATCTTCAATCACCCCTCATCCTCAGCTTCTCACATTCTCAGTCCCTCCCTCATTCCCAGTCTCCGCTCATCCATAGACCCCCCCCACCCTCAGCCCCCCTTTTCGTCCTCAGTCCCTCCGTCACTCTCAGACTCTCCATCCTCAATCACCCCTCATTCTCAGCTCCCCTCATTCTATCTCTGATCTACAGCTCCTCCAATCCTCAGTCCCTCTTCATTCTCAACCACCGTCTCAACTTCCCCATCCTCAGTCCTCCCTCTCATCCACAGTTCCCCCCGATCTTCAGCATCACCTCCTTCAGCCCCACCCCCCAGCCTTCCTTCATCCACAGCCTCTCTCATCCTCCCTCACATCCCACTCAGCCTTCTCTCACCCTTAATTCAGTCTCAACCTGTCCTCAGCCCCCGAGCTCCCCTCAACCTTGGGCACCCCCAAGCTCCACTCCCCCCCCCCCCCCCCCCCCCCCCCCCCCCCCCCCCCCCCCCCCCCCCCCCCCCCCCCCCCCCCCCCCCCCCCCCCCCCCCCGCCCCCGGCCCCCCCCCCCCCCCCCCCCCCCCCCCAGTGCCCCTGCCCCTCTGCCTCCCCTTTTTCTTAAGCACAACCTGGCCCCTCGTGGGTCCTCCCCAATGCCAAGTTGGTAGTGTCTGAGCCCTGTCACAGTTCAGTGCTGTCTTAGTAGATCTGCACAGTCACACTGGCTGTAAATCAAAGGTTGTATTTGTAGTAATAACAGGATTAAATGCAAGCTCAGGTGCAGGGTTACTGAATCCTGGGCAGAGTTCTCTCTCAGCATGGAGAGGGACTTGAGATAAGTCCAAGGGCCTGGAGTAACAGGACAAGGGGGAATGACTTTACACTGCCAGAGGGCAGGGTTAGATGGGATACTGGGAGGCAATTCTTCCTTGTTGAGGGTGGGGGGGYCCTGGCACAGGCCCCTTGAACACTTCCAGTCATGGGGCAGTGTTCAAAGCCAGGTTGGACAGGGCTTGGAGCAACTTGTTCTAGTGGAAGGTGTCCCTGCCCATGGCATGGGATGGAATGGGGTAAGCTTTAGGGTCCCTTGCAACCCAAACCATCCTGAAATTCTGCTCACCATTGCAGTGACCTGCAACTGTTCATGAGGCTTTTCCCAAACTTTGCATGTTGCTCTGCTGACATGTATTAAGTTTCTCCATAAATGTTACCACCGCTTTTTCACAATATAAAGTCTGGGACATGAGCAAAGTAAATTGTAGTTATTGATAGATTGCTGTGGGCTCCAGGTAATTCCAGAATTGCTGAGGTTGGAAAAGACCTCTCAGACTATCAAGTCCAACCTGTGACCTTGTCAACCAGACCAGAGCACTTAGTGACACGTCCAGTCATTCCATGAACACCTCCATGGATGGGGATTCCACCACCTCCTTGGGCAGCCCCTGCCAATCCCTGACAGTCCTTTCCTTGGAGAAATTCTTCCTGATATCCAACCTGACCCTCCCCAGGYTTAACTTGAGGCTGTGTCCTTAATGCTATGCAATAGGGAAGTTTTGCCAAGCCGTGTGGGGCTGTTGGTATCCCCCGTTGTTCTGACCCCTTTGCTACTGGTCACCCTGTGGTACCCCCACAGGGGGAGGGGCCTGGGGGGCCAGCCCCTGGGATCGACTGTTCTGGTGTCAGGCTGGTTCCCTACCAGCCATTGGCACTGAGAAAGAGCCCCTTAGTTTATTTCAAGTGTGGTGGCCTCTGATTACAGTGGTTTCCCAGCTTTCAGGAGAGCTGCAGAATGCTGTGGGGCTTGGAGGGAGGACTCACCCCTTTCCCAGGCAGCCAGAGCTGGTGTGTGGCTGCCCCAGAACCCTGAGAAAAGTGATGTCCTGCCCTCTGCTCTCCTCATATCTGAGCAATCTCTGGTGCTATCAGGAGCAGGAGCCTGAACTTACCAATATGTCATCTGCCTACAGCCAGGGCTCCCCTCAGAGTCAGGAAAAAAGTTAACAGTAGCGTTATGCTTGTAGATAAGTACCAAATTAATAATGGAATAATCTCTTCTCCAATTCTTTATGAAGTAAAGCAGTGCCAGGCTGGGGATGTTTTGTCACAGCTCTGAGGGAGTTCGGAGGAGCTGACACATGGGCTGGGATCAAAGAGGTTCTCTCATTTAAAAGCTGCTCATTTAAAAGCTGCTCAGGAAAGCTTGGAGAATAGTTTAAAAGGAAAATTAGGAGCCCTGAAGGTAACAGCTAATGAGGTTAAAGAGGGAAGCATTCTATGATTGGGGTCTCATTAATGAGGCTTCAGGAAAATGCAGCCATGATTTGTAAATTGGAATTCCTTGACTGGGTGGGTAAGGAAAGCCCAATTTACATAATCCATTTAGATTTCCAGAAAGCCTTTTAACAAAATCACTCTGGGAGAGTTCACGAAGGGAGAGAGTTGGGATGAGATGTTTTATTCATAACAGAGAAGATCAAAATCTGCACAGGAAACGTGAGAACGAAACAAAAAAAAATCCTTGAGACGAAAGACTTGAGTTGCTTTTCATCTTGGCATCTCTGACAAGAGTGTGCCTGGAACCTTTTCCTCATGCTGGGAAGAGCAGAAGGAAAATAAACTGTTGAATTATTGAATGCAGTCAGGGCTGCGGGGGTTGTAATGAGATGAGACCATGTGCAGGCAGGGCAGACAAACAGGAGATGAGGAAGGATAAAATGCACCTCTGTTTCCTGAGGCTGTGTAGGTTTGAGACCTGGATGTGGCTGTCACTGGGGACACTCAGTAAAGACACTTGGGTCCTGGTAACTTGGGAACAACCCAGCAATCCAAGGTACAAAAGCCAGCACTGAGTGTGACCCRTGCACACAGGAGTTCCCTTGGGCAGGGGGCAGGGCTGGCTGCGGAGGGAGAGGTTTGGAAGTAGGTCATGAACATGAGGAGCGTGGGAGAACGTGCAGGAGGAGGGACTACAGGTTAGAGACACWTTTTTTGGGGAAGAAAACAGCTTATGGCAAAGCCTTCAACACAATGAGGGGTGTTTGTTATCCTTCAACTAGAGGAGGTCTGTGAGGTGGGGAAGTGGCTGGTCAGGGATGATGTGTCCTTGTGTGCAGGGGCTGGAAGCTGTAGGGGATCCTCAGGAACAGAAACATGACATTCTAAGTGAAATTGGAAGTGTTCATCAATGTTCCTGCCTAACATAAACACTGTGCTTGCCGCGGTGCTCAGATTTGTGACCTGCACGCTGCTGTAGGCTAGTATTTGCTGCATTTTCTGCAGTGCATGAGTTAAATCATCAGAGTGCTTGGCTGGAAGGTCTTTACACAAGATGAAAGAAACCAAACAACTTTGTTATTTTATGCTCTGAAATTACCCACAGTGACAACAGAAGTTAGTGGCATCTTAAAGCTCACCTAATTTTGGAATTTGGTTTAGGGTTGCAAGGTTCCAGTTCTTGGCAGAGGTTCTGAACCTTGAATTAAAACTCCCCTGGCAGGTGCTGATAGCCTGTGCTGCAGGAAGGTGCTTCTGTGCAAGGTTTTCCTGGCTGCTCTGTGGTGTTGGAGCAGGAATTGTGGCTGCTACACCCCTGAGGGGGTCTGTGTTTTGTTTGAATGGACTTCAGAGATCCAAGATGCATCAGGAAAAACCTTCCAGCTCAGCAAAGATGGCTTTGAAGTCTGTCTTAAATAAGCAGAACTAATGAAAAGTGTGAGTGATTCAAGAAAACAAGTTTTGTGCCAGCTGGTCACTGAGTCTCATGGAATTTGCCACCTCGGTTCTCTGTAGGTCAAGAGAAGAAGGAGATCAGGGAATTTAAAGCTATTTACACTATGTAAGTAGGGCAGAACTGGAATTCTGCAGGAGTTTTCCATGATGGAAGTATGTCTCTGCCTTGTGTGAGGAGTTCAGGCATTTCTGTGTATTTGGTACTTCCCACTCCAGGGAAGTGGGTCCAGAGACTCTGGCAAAGGTGGAGTTTGTTTTGCTGTAATATTCCTGGTTTTTTTGTTGCTGCCTGCTTAGTGAGCTAGATGTGAGATAGTACAGCCACCAGGTTTGATCTTTACCCCACTTATGCCAATGCTGAAGTGCCGGATCCATCCCAAACATGGTTTAACATGATGGAATTTAATAATTTCATATCTATTTTTCTTTTCAGTCCCTGGAGGATAGTGGATGACTGTGGAGGGGCCTTCACCATGGGGGCCATAGGAGGGGGCATATTCCAAGCTATCAAAGGCTTCCGAAATTCCCCAGTGGTGAGTAAAATCCTCTGAAGATGCACTGACTGCAGTCTTGCCTCCACTGTCCTTYCCTGGGGCATCTGGCAGTGAAGGGGAAGGAGAATAAATCCCTGTGCAGAGTACAGGGCTGATTGAGGACCTGTATATATATCATTAATCCAGACCATGACAATCTGTCCTGGCTCAGGGTCTGAGGGGGTCCTTCATCTTTTGGGATAAAATTGCTGCTTCCCCCTGCTTGCTCTGGTGGCCACAATGGCACGCACTGGTAGCTCGTTCCTCCCTCGTGAGGAATGTTTTCATTGGGATGGGGAAGTGCAGTAGGCAATGATGTCCATCTTGGCTGGCCTGTAGTTCTGTCTGTATCTAGGGATGTGAAGCCCGGGTTCTCCTTCCTCTCCTGGCCTCTCCCTTTTAAAACATGGAATGACTCAAAGGAAGAATCTTTTTCTTCTTCAGATTTATATTAAAGGGTATCATTTTCTTTAACTAATTTCTTATTTAATCATTTCCCTTTTTATTAACTGATTTTTTAATGCTGAGGTTTGGTTTCAATGGAGAAATGAGTAAATATGGAAGTGAAGTTTTGCTGATGCAAGTCAGTTTTCACTTTCAGGATATCTGCTGCAAAATTTTGGCTATAAACCCATTGCAGAGACATTTAATAAATTAAGATCCAATTTCTACATGCACATTTGTTTTAAAATTTCTCTGACTTCATATAAAAGGTGGTTTTGGTGTTACTCTGACAATAAGCTGTTGGTTTGAGGTGGGTTTAGTAATAACTGCTTCCAAACTAGTCAGATCCTGCAGACACTTCATGTGAAAAGGACTGTGTGCTTAATTAGATTCTCTATTTTGCTTAAGACTTGCTAAATAAACCTGTCCCCACTTCTGAGTGATTATAGCAAAAATAAAACTTGGTGGATGTTGTTTAAACAGTGTTAAAATGTGGGAAAATGTGTAACTGTAGTTCAGTGGGGTCCTGGATGACATATTGGGTATTGGACTCTGGAAGACTCAGCATGACATTGCTACTCTTGGCTGCAGAGACATGGACTATTCCACCCGCAGGAATGACTAAACATCGGACAGCTAGTGGGATTGCCCATCAGATAGGAAGAAAAAATGATACATGTGAAAAAACACTGCTTATGCTGCTGAAATGTTACTGTAATGGCTCTTTCAGTCCCACTGGGCCACTAAGACTGTTAATCCAAACTGTTTCCTGCCTGATAACTGTAATTCCCATCTTTACCTGATGGAATATTGTAAGGGAGTGATAAATAGTGAAGTAGGTGTAAAACACACTTTGTCTCAGCTCCTCACAGCTACTGAGGTGGCTCAGAAATGTGTTGGGCCCGTGGCAGGTTTTTGCAATATGAACTCTGCTTTGCTATAAGATTTTACTGTTTTATTTTAACAAAATTCTCTTATTTCAGGGAGTAAATCACCGGCTGCGGGGGAGTTTGACAGCCATTAAAACCAGAGCTCCCCAATTGGGAGGTAATGGACTTTTGGGATTTGTTGCATGGAACTCACTGTTGGTAGATAACAGTTTGGGAATGTAACATGGTGCAGATGCACTGACACCTGAGCTGAGTCTCACCAGGTCTTTTGGGACAAACAATGGGTAAATACAGTTCTGATGCATCAAAAATGAGTTTGGTTGGGGAGGAAACCCCGGTGTTCCTGGAGTGATAAGCCAGGGATAATAACTGGTCATATCGTGAACAGCAGAGCTCCCTGTAGCCTCTTCATGGTGTGCGAGGTGTTAAGATAAAACTAACTCATAACACAAAGAGATTCAACTTGGATCAGAAATAGAACTTGGAGATGTCCCTGCATGTGCTGTAGGGTGCCAAGCTCCTGAGGCCTCAGGAGCAGAGTTGGGATGAGGTGTGAGGTGTGACATGACTGTGCATCATTGTCTGTGAGAATATATTTTGAAAAGGGATCAATCTGGAAGTTCCCTGAGCTAATGTGGTTTTGTTAGGATTAAAGTCCCATTATAATCACAGTCTGATAAACTTTCTGTAGTTAATTGTAGATTAGTGAGATGCTATGTAAAATGGGGGGAAGAGGGGTATAATGACATGACAAGTTGGAAATTTTATTGATTCTAACCTATATTTGGATCTTTCTGAGTTTGAATTTACTTGTCTGTAACGGAGCACAGTAACGCTACAGCATCTCTTGCGCAGCACAACTGGCTTCTCTGCTTTCTCTCAAGTGGCTTTGGTTTGATTTGGAACAGGTAGCTTTGCTGTCTGGGGAGGTCTCTTCTCCATGATTGACTGCAGTATGGTCAGGATGAGAGGGAAGGAAGATCCCTGGAATTCCATCACGAGTGGAGCCCTGACTGGAGCCATTTTAGCTGCAAGAAGTAAGAAACTGTGGATATCAGTTGAAAGCCTCCTGTTCTCTAAATGTACAATTCTCATTGTTATAGAAAAGCAACAGTTTGTGACACCCAAACTGCAATTTGATATCTCAGACACTGAAAAAGAATCTGCAACTTTTCTACTGTGCTTAGTAAAGTAATAATCAGGTTCACAAATGTTGCCGGTGCTCCTCCAAGTGGTGGGGGCCGTTGCATAGTCATTATCCTATAATGCAGCTTAATGGATGCAGAATTACTGCTCTGAGTCTGCTTTGGGAGAGATTAAGACTGCACAAAGAGGGTGCAGCACAGGTTGCCTATAGAAGCTGTGGCTGCTCTGTCCCTGGAAGTGTCCAAGGCCRGGTTGGATGGGGCTTGGAGCAACCTGGGATAGTGGAAGGTGTCTGTGCCCATGGCAGGGGGTGGAATAAAATGAGCTTTGAGGTCCCTTTCAGCCTAAGCAGTCCTGGGATTCAATGGATTCCAACATGCAACAAAGAAATTAGAAGTGTTGGTTTGTGCTTTTCATTTCCAGATGGCCCAGTTGCCATGGTTGGATCTGCTGCGATGGGAGGAATTCTCCTGGCCCTGATTGAAGGAGCTGGAATTCTGCTGACAAGATTTGCCTCCACGCAGTTTCCAAACGGTAAGGAGCCAACAGAGGATGTATCACAAGGATTTGCTTTGCTGATGTACCTCTGGCAGTCATCAGTCATATCCTGGAGTGAATCTGCACTGCCCCGTGAGCTCCTTAGGCTGTGGAAAGCCAAGGAGAAGCTTCAGGTGCTGATGACACGAGATTATCACCAGCTTTTTCCTGCTGGGAGGTGGCATGGCTGAGAGCAGGGATATCCCTGCTGTCCCTGGCTTCTGCCACACACCTGGCACATGGCAGGGTTTTACTCAGGAGTGGGACACAAAGGTTTGAGGCAATGGCAGGCAGCAAGTTGTGGAAAAGAGGGGTGGTTCTGGCAGGCTATGGTCTGTGTGGGGAGCTCCGGGGTAAATAAGATGATAAAGACCAGGCAGATACAGATATACTATTTCCAAGAAGRGTGGTGGTGGTTTTCTTCTAAACTGCTTCAATATCGACATCCTGTTTTTCTTTCCCAAGTAAAATGCAAGCACAGCTATCACTGAGTTAGAAACTGTTGTATAAATGCTTTCTGTGGGAAGCCCTAAATACCACTGTCACTGAATTTCAGGTTTAGGGTGGGAGGGACCTCAGAGCCCATCTCATTCAACCCCCTGCCACGGGCAGGGACACCTTTCACTAGACTTTCAACTAGATGGGTTGCACCAAGCCCCATCCAACCTGGCCTTGCACACTTCCAGGCATGGAGCAGCCCCAGCTTCTCTGGGCAGGGACACCTTCTGTTATCCCAGACTGCCCCAAGACCCATCCAACCTGGCCTTGGATACTTCCAGGCATGGAATAGCTATAGCTGTTCTTGGCACCCTGTGCCAGGGTCTCCCCACCCTCACAGGGTAGATAGAATTCCTTCCCAACATCCCACCGAACCCTGCCCTGTGGCAGTGGGAAGCCATACCTGCTTGTTCTGTGACTCCCGGCCCTTGTCCCAAGTCCCTCTCCAGCTCTCTTGAAGCCCCTTTAGGCACTTGAAGGGTCTTTAAGGTCTCCCTGGAGCCTTCTCTCCAGGCTGAACATTCCCAGCTCTCCTAGCCTTTCCTCATAGGAGAAATGCTCCACCTCATTTTAGGAAGAACACAAACCACTAGTGTTGGATGAGTAGCAAGTCACTAATTCCTGAGCTAATCTTCACCTGGGTTTGTTCACCAATATTCTTCATCCAACCTGACCTATGACAATTTCTTTCTTTAAAGATGCTTGAAAATTAATCTGCCTTGGAAGAAAGTGTATCATCTGTGTATGACAATTATTTCTCTCTGGATTGTCCCACCAGCAGCAGGCAGTGGATCAGGAAGCTGACTTCACACTTGTTCCATTTCACTGGTTGCTTTATTGTCAAGCAAGTTACCATAGTTAAACCTTTCCAGAGAGRCCAAGGTCACTTCAAGAGCACTAATGCAAAAGTTTCCAGTTCCTTTAGGTGACTGAAAGGTTTCTCTCTCCCTGCTCTGGTTCATTTCCTTGTTAGAAAACCTTGTCTCGTGCAAGGTGTCCCTGTCCATGGCAAGGGGTGGAACAGGATGAGCTTTAAGGTCCCTTCCAACCCAAATTATTCCAAAATTCCATGATTCTGTGAAACTTGCAGCTAAATGATTTATCTTTGGAGCAGCTTGCACAGACAGGGTACTTTTCCTAAAAGGGAGCTGGAAGAGAGGCTTTGGACAAGGACTGGGAGTCACAGGACAAGGGGGAATGGCTTCCCACTGCCAGAGGACAGGGTCACATGGGATATTGGGAAGGAATTCTTCCCTGTGAGGGTGGAGAGGCCCTGGCACAGGGTGCCAAGAACAGCTATAGCTATTCCATGCCTGGAAGTATCCAAGGCCAGGTTGGATGGGTCTTGGGGCAGTCTGGGATAACAGAAGGTGTCCCTGCCCATGGCAGGGGGTAGAACTGGATGAGCTTTAAGGTCTCTTCCAACCCAAACCAGTCCGGGATTCTATGCAACTTTTGGAACTTTTTATGAAACCCAAACCATTCCTGGATCTGTGATTAATTTTAAGAGGGATTTATTTAAACAAACCTCTTGAAAATTCTGTTAATAGAAAGTATCTCCTGCCTTTTGGTATATTTATTTGCATTTTCCCCTGTCCCTGCTCCAGGCCCACAGTTATCAGAGGATCCATCCCAGCTCCAGCCACCCCCGTTCAGCGACTATCGGCAGTACCAGTGATAGTCCCCGGCCTCCTCCTCCTCCTCCTCCTCCTCCTCCTTCTTCCCTGTTCCTGAGCTGTCCTGCCTGGAGGATGTGGAGGGGGTTTGTCCTTACACCAGTGGTTGTCCCTTATGCACCGTGCTAGGAGGACCTGCAGCATTTCTCAATGTCAAACTGCTCAGGAGAACTTTTGGAAAAGAAAATCTATTTATTCCTGATAGATTCCATTGCTGTAATGTTACACATGTCTGGTAGAATACAAGGAAGTTTGAGACAAGAACCAAATGGAGTCTTGTCATCCTTTGGATTCCTACTGGAGAGAAAGGCTTGGAGTCTCCTCTGGGATGTGGCACCTGCAGTGAATGCAGCTGGAATGTAGTCTCTTTCCTGTCAGATGTAGATTACGAGACTGGAAGGGGAAGTATTGCACCTGCTGCCAGCACAGCCTTCTGCTTTTCATCTTGGATCCCAGCTTTAAGCACATCTGCTCTGCAATTTTGTGCTTAAACTCCAGCTTTGGAGGCCCCTTCCCTCTTGCCAGCAGTTAGAAAATCACATCCGGCAAGGTTTTCCATTGTAATTTGTTAATTAACTCATCGATACTGTTGCTTGCTGGCAGTTCCTGTTAAGTATCCAGAAAGACTCCAGTAATGCCATGTGAGCAACGCCTAGCTTTTCCTCTGCCCAGCAAGGAGGAAACCAAATCAGAGCCGTGTAGAGGATGCAAAGAATGGAAGAAACAGAAGTGCTCMCAGTAATGTTGACAAGAGTGAGAATTAGTGTTGTACAAGATGTGCACGCATGTGTGAGTGTCTAATGATCTCCTGTGTACTTAAATGGACATTTTCCCATTTCCACCCCCCTGCCTCCCAGAACCATGCCAGGACTACCAGGGCTTGTGTCTCGTCTCATTCCTCAGTGTTACCACTGGTGTGTAAGCAAACAGTGATTTTACGCACAAAAGAGCCTTTTGTGTTTGTGGTGTGTGTGTGTGTGTGTGGGTGTGTGTGTGTGAAGGCTCGCTTTGCCACTTCCCTTTTTTCTTGGTCAGATTTTGAAGTTAGTTTTCTTGATTTGCATCACTCAGCTGATGCCTCTTCTGTTCTCAGGTGAGTGCTCTGAGAGAAGATTACACTTCTGGGTTCCCTGTGTGTCCAAACCTGGGTGCTCATCCCTAATGTTTTCCCAGCCTCCAAGGGAGGAGCACTCAGGTGTTGTTCAGATCCATGTGCAGTTCCAGGGTGCCACTCCGAGGCCTGGCTGTGCACCATGGAGCTTTGCTGGGAGGGGAGGACACTCATCCACATCACCTCCTGAAACACAGGGTGACCTCTCCCAGCAGTGCTGTGTCTGGGACTGGGCTCAGCCTGGGTCAGATGTGGGATGCAGGATCGCTTGGGCTCTGCCCAGGTGGGACAGGGGGTGCAGGATCTGCTGCTGCTGCCCACCCTTGGGGGATTTCCAAAGCTGGGCCCCATCCAAACAGCTCAGCAAAGGGATGTCCCCACGAGTGTGGGATAGCAGGGATAGGTGGCACAGGGGCTGTGGTGGCTCTGCCCAAACTCTTCCCTCACCCCTAGGTCACGTAATGTCCTTCAGCTGCCTGAGCTGGGCTTTGCTCTGCTGGCTTCTGCCCGTCCAAGCCTCTGACAGTTACTGTCCCCTGTACACCAGGAGAAGCTTCTGAGTGGGGCATGGTCCTGCACTGCCCCCACGGCAGCTGGGCTGTGACACATCTCTAGGCCTGCTGAGCCCCGAGGGAAGTAACAGCCCTGGTGCTCTCACCAGCCAGGGCCAGGTTTCCTGCTCTGTCATCACCACAACACCCCAACTTCCTGTTTTATTGCAGCCCAGTCCAGACTTCACTGTAGCTGGAGGGACCCCTGCTCCTGGGGTTGCCCAGAGCCCTCTCTACCCCCATCCCAAAAACAGACACATCAGTGACACTGAACTATTGACCTTTTTATTTCATCAGCAACAGCAGCTCTACGTTCCCTACAACATTGTCCTTCCTCCCTCCCCCCTACAGTGAGGGAGCTGAGGACACTGCGGTGGCAGCGCATCGTCTTAAAGCTTAGTATTAAATATTAAATATTCTTTCATTTATGTTTACATTACTTTGTCAAGGAAAACAAAACAAACAAAAAAAGGACAATTAAAACTTTAAATTACATGAGTGTGTGCCTGTGCCTGGGGCTGCTGCAGCCAGGCGGTGCCGCGGGGGATATGCAGAACTCCTGGTGCATGAGGAGAGGGATGTGCTCGCCTATGCAGGAGCAGGGAGCTGCTCCCTGTGCTGTTGGAGCAGCGGATGATCCTGGTGCAGCTAAAACACTCCGGAGGAGGCAGGAGCTTCCCCCCCGCAGCCTCAGCGCATGGGGAAGGGGATGAGGATTTGGTCAACAACTTTGCTAAAGGATTTATCMGTTTCTTATTTTTTTGTTTCTTAAAAAAAAAAACCCAACAAACCAACAACCCCAAATGGTTTTGAGTCTTCCTTTGATTTTAGCAAAGACAAGAGTTTAAAAAGCACTTAGGAAGCTTGTACTAAAACCAGGCGCTCTCAGAGGAGAGAGTCATCTGTGCACCCCCCTTCCAGGCCATAGCGGAATTCCTGCAGGTTGGACACCCCATAGAAGTGGACAAAGGCTGCAGCCACCACCAGCACGTGGAAGATCTGATGAGACTGGAACTGCAGGGAAGCGAGAAAGCCTTTAGACCAGACCAAAGGGGACAGTAACACTGTCAACACTCCTCCTCCTCTTCCTTGCTGCTCCAGGTCTGTCCTYTGCCCTCTGCTCTGTCACTTCCAGCAGCAATTCCCACCCTGTACTTTGCTCTGCCCATGCACAGCACCTGTTCAAGGTCTGCCTGCCAGCATGTGCTGGGGCATAGCAGGACACACCCAGCATCCAGCCCATCAATGCCCCCTCCCCCGACCCCATAGGTGCCCTCAGACACCCCATTCACCCCCACACTCACCCAGATGTCGAACTTGCCCGGGAAAAAGCGCTCAGGGATGCGGGCGGCGTACAGGCCAGCGCCTGTGATGTACATCACGGCCATGAGGAAGAACCAGCCCATCTGCCCCACCGTGGTGGCCTTCACAAAACCCTCAGCAATGGTGAAGTGCATGGTGGGCACGACCCCGCTCAGCCCCAGCCCCAGGAACACRCCTGCAGCCCAGAGAGGAGGTCAGGGAAAGGAGCTCAGTGTGGAGGGGGAGTTGCTCCTCCCACCAACTCCCCTTGATCCCTCATCCTGCTCTAGGAAAGAAGCTTTTCCTCACTGGATCCACAGAATATCCCAAGTTGGAAAGGACCCATAAGGATCATTGTGTCCAACTCCCAGCCCTGCACAGGACATTCTCAGACAATCCCACCCTGTGCCCAAGAGCATTGTCCAAACACTCCTTGAACTTCTCCAATCCGCATGGCATTTATCTTTCACAAAATGAGGGATCCACGGCTCCACATCCCAGGCAAACTGCCCCTGTGCTCACAGGGCAGAACCCACCCAGTGTCTCTAATACAAGGCTTCAGCAGCTCCCACTCCTAACAACAGGAATAGACATTTTGGAAGGTGCCAGCCCCTTGGATCAAACGAGAAACACAGCCACCCCTTCCAGGAAAGTAACTGGAGCTTCTGAGGAAGGAGCTCAGCAGCAGCCGAAATGTTCAGCTCTGGCCTCTCCTGAGTTGGCAGAGAACAAGGGGCCCCTTGGTGACACTTGACCAGAGAGGCTGTGGGTGGTACCTGGCTGGACCTTGCCTGTGTTGGGGGCACAGGATGCAGTGGGGAGGAGCCATGGCAACATGAGTCCTGTCTGTCCCCTGCCCTTATCTGAGGGCTCTCAGGTGACTTCTGGCTCAGCATGATCTCTCCTCACTCACATAGCCAGAACAGTGCTCCAAGAGAAATTTGCTCCAGGACCCTGGGGAGCTGGGGAGGGAGGTGTCTCCTGGTGCTCAGTGAGGCTGATGGGACTTGCCTTGGGGGTGAACCGGGGTGTGGGGCTGGAGGCAGCTCACCACCCCACCCCCAGGAAGGCAACCACCAGCCAGTGTGTCCCTGGCAGGCAAGAGCTCAGGGATGTCTTCCTCTCCTGCCCTAGCTGCAGGTTCCTACTGCCAAACTGCTTCCTGGAGAAGGCGGAGAAAGTACAGCCGCAGCCCACCCAGGGCTATTTTTAAACTTCAAACCTCAGACTCACAGGAGACAGATCCCCAGCACAACAAGAAAAGGCAGGAGGCTGCTCCCGGCAGTGTTATGCTGCTCAGGGAGAATGAATCCTGCAGTTGCCCAGAGCTTTTCCCAAGTGGGATCTGCCCAAAGTGCCTCCCAGGACCCAGGCGAGGAGGGAGGTCCTACCTGCTCTGGTCTGCCTGTGCTTGGGGGTGGCAAATCGGTCCCACTGTGCCACGATGATGGCAGAGATGCCCAAGACACAGACGATGGAGAGGTAGATGAGTCTTGGCTGTGGAGAGCAGTAGAATGAATAGTAGAGCCATGGGACGAAGCTCCCCATGATCAGCAGTGCAATTCCTGAATAATCCAACCTGCAGCCAGGGTGAATGACAGAAAGCCACGGGTGAGCCCCTTCATGTGTGGGAATTCTTCAGCCACACTCGAGTGGAGTCACTGGGCAGGAGGGATGTGCTGGGGTCCCATTGGCACCAGGTGGGAAAGAAGGTAGGGCCTGGGCACAGTGGGAATGCTAGGGAGGGGCAGGAGGGGGCTGGAGCTCAAACCACTGGGAACTAGTCCCTGTGCACATGGATCTGTGATCCTCCACTCAAAGCACTCTAGATCCACTGAACCAAGAACCATCTCATCACTGAAACACAGCACCTGCACTGCCCCCATTACCTTCCCTGGAACACAAGGGCATTCTTGCTGGGTTTGTTCTGGAGTCAGGATCCCATGGAATCTCCGGGGGTTGTGCAAAGGAGTACCTAAATAAATGCCTTTAAGAGCCATTTGGGAGCAGAATGCACTTGAGAGCATCACTGTGAAGACTGATGGGAGCTTGACTCTCGGAGCAGCCCAGAAAGAGGCACCAGCCACTGACCAGCCTTCCCACTCTGCTAGAAATCCTTGTGTTCCTTGTTTCCATTTGGTTTCAGTCCAAGCCGTATCCAAGCCAGAGGTTTTTAAAAGCATCCCGTAAACTGGGACCTGCCAAACTGGCCATGGCCCCCAGCTGCCCAGTGACAGCAAGACTCCTCCTCAGTTTGCTGCTACAAGGGGCAGAGCCTGTTCCCTTGGGAGCTGCAGGGTTCCAGAATCTTTACCATCCACCTGAGGCCCCTGACCTGGCAGATTTAAGGTGCTGAGGCAGAGCCCTCCAGAACCCCATTGTGGTTCCCCCTCAGTTCCATACTGGCTTGGGTGGATGCTCCCTTCCCCCARGGACAAAACATTTGGGAACACAGGGCTTTCCCAGAGGAAGTGCTGCAAGAACACAAAACCTCCCAGGAGACCACACTACCACACTCATGTTGACTCACTTCGAAAAAGTCCGTGAGACCTTCTCTGAGTGACAATAGACAGTGTGGAAAAGCCAGGAGAAGCTGAGGCACAGCACTGCTCCCAGGAAGAACATCCCAAACACCACCTTCTCTTGGAGAGGAGCCATGAAGTACATGTTGGGTCGCAGCATGGTCAGGATGCCCAGGCAGAGGAACAGAACAAATCCTGCAGGAACACATGGAGTGGCAAGTCAAAGCAGCAGTGGGGGAACTCAGCAGAGCCAGGATGAGAACAGCCCTGTCCATGCTCTGGGAGGTCCTGGATGTGTCCCAGGGGTGCTCAGTGACCCACAATGGGCACTTGGCTGAAGCTTTTGTTAGTGCAAATGAGCAGGGCTGGGGGCAGGGGCAGGCAGGCACAGGGCAAAGAGCTGCTGAGCATTCCTGTGTTTCACAGGATCATGGAATCACAGACTGGGTTGGGTGGGAAGGAACCTTAAAGCTCACCCTGTTCCACCCCCTGCCAGGGCCGGCACACCTTCCACTGTCCCAGGCTGCTCCAAGCCCTGTCCAACCTGGCCTTGGACACTGCCAGACATGGAGCAGCCACAGCTTCTCTGGGCAACCTCACAGGGAAGAATTCCTCCCCAGCATTCCATCTTAACCCTCTGGCAGTGGGAAGCCATTCCCCACTGTCCTGTGACTCCAATCCCTTGTTCCAACTCTCCTGGAGTCCCTTTAGGCATGGGAAGGAGCTCYAAGGTGTCCCTAGAGCCTTCTCTTCTTCAGGCTACATATTCCCAGCATTCCCAGCAAAGCAGAGGGGCTCCAGCCATCACAGCATCTCTGTGGCTTCCTCTGGACTCATTTCAGAGGAAAATCCTCTGAGGCCTCCCTGTTCTGCCCAGGACACATTTCCCCATCCCACTCCTGCAGTGGCTGAGCCCAGCCCTGGCCCTTCTCTCCCAAAGGGATCCAGGAGCTCCAGGCATTCCATGTCTGATCGTCCTGCGTGCACAGGATCTGCACAGGGAGCCCTGGGCATGGAGAGGATCTAGCAGCAAGCCCATCCTGAACCTACTGCAGTGTCTGAGCCCCTCCAGCCCCAGGGCTCCCCCTTCCCACACTCACCCAGCAGGTGTGTCCAGATGTTGCCCGTCTCGGTGTGTATCCGGAAGATACTCCGGAAGCAGGCTCGGAAGGAGGGCATGGGGGGCCGGTGTCCATGCAGGAGGTAATCGTTGTCCTTCAGCCAGTCGGGCAGGACGTCATATGGGATCACACGCCAGCGCCCTTCCCACACCTGCAACGAAGCAGGGGGATCAGGGCAGCCCAGGGCCCCAAATCCACAGGGAGCAGCACAGCCCTGGGATGCTCCTCGGGGAGAGTAAGTTCGGCTTCTCTGACATCAGGCACCCCGTGGGACCCTGTAAGCCACCACCTCCTGCACTTTGCTCCTCACAGCCCTCCAGGGAGTGAGCCCAGGTCCCCCCGGGAGTGATTCCCAGTCCCCACCAAGGATTGATTCCCCATCCCCCCCAAGGATTGATTCCCAGCCCCCACAGGGAGTGATTCCAGGCAGGGGTGATTCCTACCAGCAGCTTCCACACCCACAGACTGTTCTCTGCAGTGGGAATTCTAATTTGGTCAGGGAAGAAGCATGGGAGCCACAGTGACTGCAGGCACCAGATGACACCCTGGCTGGCACTCGGTGCTCCCAGGCTCCACCCAGGCCTGCAGGAACACCAGGATTGCTCCCAGATCCTCACCCACCATGGCTGGGCCAATCTCCATCCTGGCCATCCCCTTCCCACACCACTCCCAAGGGATGCCACCGGAAGCAGCCCATCAGAGCCAGAGCTGACTGCAGCCACGTGAAGCTTTATCCGGACACAGCGACACATCCCATCACCCCGAGCCTGGGATTGGGGAATCTGCCCCAGAATCAAGGACCAGGGGATCGMCGAGAGCTCCAGTACCTTGTACACAAATTCTTCCATCTTCTCCATGGCATGGTGAGCCTGCAGGGGGAGGGTCAGCACCCGCACCACTTCCTCCTCCTCCTCGCGAGCCACCTGGCACGGCGGGTCCTCGGCCTGAAGGGAGATGGGTGGGGAGGGAATCATTCCAGCCCCTGGGAGAGGAATCATGCCTGCCCTTCTGAGAGGACCTGGGACTTCATCCCTCYGAGGGGACAGGCAGGACCCGCCAGTCATGCTCGCTTATGTAACACATTGCTGTCTGACCCATCCCAGGCGGGCTAATCCCAGATTTATCCTGTCGAAATGCAGGATTACTGCCAGGGATTTTCATCCCTACAACCAGGGCTGGAACGGCCGCTCGGCCCAGACGGGAAAACCGAGCCTCCAGCCCGGAGCAGAGGCAGCTCCGAGATGGGAGCGCTCTGGGTCCGGCACATCTCCCACTCTCCTCAGCCGGGAGAGGGTTCGGGAATGGAATTCCCAGCCCCGTGGAAATGCTGGGGCACTGGGAGCACCCTGGGAACACTCGGCACAGGCAGAGCGATCCCATCAGGGATCCATCCCATCCCCCAGGGTGATATCTCTGCATGGGGCTATCCCAGTTCCATGCCTGCTCGGCAGGAGCAGAGTTTGGGCCGACTCGGAGGAGGGGCCAGTCCGAGGAACGACCCAGCTGCTAATGGGATAACGGGAAGATTCCCGGGATAATCCGCGAGGACGGAGCAAGGAGACCGAGCCAGGCTCTGCATCCCCTTTCGCCCGGTGCTCTCGGAGGGGCTCACGCTGGCCACGCCGACGGGTCCTTGGTCCCCCTTCTCCTCCAGGAGCGGCCCCAGCTCGGCGAGCTCCAGGTGCGCCCGTTCTCGCTCCCGGTCCCGGCCGGCRGCCACCAGCCCGCTGCTCGCCCCGGCGGGGGCCTTGCGGGACGCCATGGGGGCGGCGGGGTCCGTGCGGCTCCGAGGCAGCCGGTTAAGGTCCCTCCGCGTCCTTCTGCCGCCGCGCTGGGGGGAAAGAAGCAGAGTTACAGGGATCGCCGGGAGCGGCAACAGGACCCTCCGCGGCGGACTGGAACCAGCGGCGCTGCCCGGGACCCCCGCGCCCGTCCCTCACCGGCCGCTACATCCCGCAGGCGGCGGCGGCGGCGCCGGAAGCAACGCTGAGGGAACGGGAACGCACAGCGCCAGTTCCGGCCTGGAGGTCACGCCCCTACAGAGTCACGTCCCAGGAACGACGTCTATGATTGGTCAGTGCCACTGTCTGTCTGTCCCTTCTCCCGCCCTGCCGGCAGCCGCGCGCTGCGATTGGTCGAGCCGCCCGGCTGAGGCGCGGGCGGGAGGCGCTCTGGCCGCTCCGAGCAGCTTTGTGGCTGCGCGCTCTGCTGCCCCCTGCTGGCAGCGCGGCGGGACAGAGCCCAGCGGGGCCCCGGGGCTGCGCTCTCAGCGGTAAAGTCTTCAAATTGATGTCTTCAAGTTGAATTATCTGCCGCCAGGATGAATTTTCTCACCTTTTGCAAACGTAACTGTCGTAATTTAACTTCTCCAACAGAAGATGCTTCAATGAAGAGAAGAACTTTGTGTTTCAAACACTGTAAAGTCACATCACCAAAATAAAAGTGCACTAGGCAGGCGAAGAATATGCTTTAGATAGGTGGGTTCATGCAAATTTGACTGTACAAAAGGTTTAACTTTCTTCTTCTTCGTGTTCTTGATTTGTGGAAGGTTCCTCTTTGCACCCACCAGAATAAATAATTTCTCCTTTGCAACATGACTCTGCATTTAGAGAGGTCCTAAAGTCGGCAACAAGAGGGGACAGACCCTGTCATCTGTCCTGAAAGCCTTCAGCCCCTGCAGCATCACCTGCCCGCCCACAGGTCCCACGTGTGGCCATCGAGGGCTTCCCCAAATGGCCACAGCAATAATTGGTGGCCGAGGTCATCCCGGCCTGGGGGGTGGCTCGTCTTTCCCTGCCCACAGATTTCATTTCCTTGGCTGACAAGAGCCGGAGACTCCCAGCCGCCGCCGGCACAATGGTGGATCCTGTTCCCCATCAATCATTCATGGCCACCCTGCTGGAAGGGGTTTCTCTGGGGGCTGGTGGAGCAGGAAGGGGGAGGGATTTTCCGACCTTTGTGATGTTATATAGGTGCTGGCAACACCAGAAAAGGTTGGAGGCACCTGGGTCACCCGCTGTTCCCGCAGAGTGAGTGGTGCAGGGGCTGAAGGGGACACAGGATTTAGAGGGAGCACGGGTTTGGAGGAGACATGGGATTTGGAGAGGACACAAGTTAGGAGGGGACATGGGATTTGGTGGGGATATAGGGTTTGGAGGGGATACAGGGTTTGGAGGGGACACAGTACTGGAGACATGGGATTTCAAGGGGACATGCAGTTGGGAGGGGACACGGATTTGGAGAGGACACAGGTTTGGGGTTTTTTGGGGTGTCATGGGAGATGGTGGGGAGAGGAAATGATCTGGGAATTCTGGGAGGCTGCATCCCCCGCCTTTTGCTGGAGACATGGGGTCCAGGACAAGTCAGGGCTGGCCATGGCCAGGGCTCTGCTCTCCCCTCTACAGGGACAAACACTGCTGTGTCCCCCCCGGTGTTCCCCATGGGTGTCTTGAGCTGCATGAAGTACCTGATGTTCATCTTCAACATGCTGGTGTTTGTGAGTCCCTGTTGGCCGTGTGKGGTGCAGGGGTGGAGGGAACCCATCCCTGGGGAGTGACATCTCCAGCTGGTTCAGGGGTGGGTGACACCAGTCCCAGGGAGGGGACCAAAGGTTGAAGTGTCCCCCATCCCCATGGGGTGACATTTCCATTTCACTTAGGGGTAGGTGACACTCGTCCCAGGGAGGGGACCAAGCCTTGGAGCATCCCCTGACCCCATGATCATCCCCTGACCTCCCCCTGCAGGCTGGGGGGACGTGCCTGGTGGGCGTGGGAGTCTGGGTGGCTGTGGACCCATCTGGTTTCCAGGACATAGTGGCCGCCAGAGCCGTGCTGAGCGTGGGTGCGTGGCTGCTGATGGCTGTGGGCATCACCCTGTCCCTGCTGGGCTTCCTGGGCTGCTGTGGGGCCCTGCGCCGGAGCCGCCTGCTCCTACTGCTGGTGAGGGAGGGGACATGGGCAGGAAGGGGCTGCAGGATGTGCACAGGGGGCACTGGGGGCAGAAGTCATGGGCTGGAGGGTGGTGGGGGATGCAGGTGTTCCTGATGGAGCCAGGAGCTGCTGTTCCTCATCCTCAACACACCCTGCCATCCACTCCCCCACCGTGAGACTCAGTTTAGAGTCCAGAGGATTTATAAAGCCATCAAGTGGGGTCACTTCTCTCTGAAAACACTGGCTTGTCCCACATGGCATTTTCAAGACATTCCCATTGCTGGTGAGGGGCAGAAACTCCTATCTGAACACCAACACCCTCATTTCTTCAGCATCTCCCATTTCTTCAGCTTGGTTTTAACCCCTGCCTTGCAGCCATAGTGGTCAGGGAGGTGGCATTTGTCCCCAGGAGCTGTACACATGTCCATGGTCTTGGGGACACAGGGCACAGGCAGGGCTGGTGCAGAGGAGGGCAGGGATAATGTGAGAAAGCTGCTTGTGGGATCAGGCTGGTCTCTGACTCTTTCACCTGCTGCCTTCCAGTTCTTCATCCTCGTCAGCATTGTCTTCCTCACACAGCTCATCGGGGCTGTTCTCTTCCTTGTGCACTGGAAACAGGTACTGATGCCATCCCCAGTGTCACCAGCCTCCCTCTGTCACACCATGGCCATGGCTCAGAGTCCACCAGGCGACTGGGGCTGGTGTGAGGACACCCTTCACCTCACTTCCATCACCAGCACCACAACACAAACCTCAAAGCAGGGGGGGGATTCCCATGGGTGGGTGCCCACCTCCCCTCAAAAGGAGCTGGGGCTGACCAGAATGGGAAAAAAAGAACAGTCCCAGCCCTGGCACCAATCACACAGGTTCAGCCCGAGCACTTCCTCTCTGAGCTGCGGAGGAACTATGGTGGGGACGAGGGTGCCGAGGTCTTCTCTACAGCCTGGAACACCATCATGGTCACGGTGAGCAGCTGGGAGGCTCCTGGGGGGTGTGTGGAGCACACACAGGACCCACTGAGGGTGGGTGAGTGGCTCACAGATCCCAGAGTGGGAGCCACTGCCTGGGCTGTTCCCCCTCCTGCTGTCACCTTCTCAAGTGACATCTTCCCCACTTTGACACCACAGTGATGGTGTTTCCCTTCTGTTCCAGTTCTCATGTTGTGGTGTTTTAGGACCTGAAGACTTTGGGAATGGCTCCCGCTTCCAGGAGCTGCACCCGGGGACGCCATGGCCACAGGCATGCTGTGCCCGGGACGGGCTCCTGCAGGCGGGAGAGCTCCTGGGCTGGGAGCAGTGCCAGGACAGGAGCCCTGGTTATATCCATGAGCAGGTACAACACAACCCTGCTGCATCCGTGTCCCTGACCCAGCCTCAGCCTTTCCCAGGCTCACAGAGCAAAGCATCAAGGTCAAGAGCCTGGGACATTTGCCTGGCTGGACACTGTGTTCCCACAGTCCAGCAGCTGCCAAAGTCCTCAACTGGTCCTGCCCCATAGGGGGCCCCCCCACATACTGGTTCCCCTCTGTGCTTCCTGCAGCCATGGGGAACATGAAAGAGCCCCTCCCTCCTCTCCCTGCCCAGGGCTGCTTCTCCACCTTTGGCAGGACCCTGCAGAGGTACATCTCCCTTCCTGGGATCTGCAGCTTGGCCGTGCTGGCTGTCGAGGTACAGAGTGGGGCTGGGGACAGGGCAGACAGAGGGTCCCCTCTTCATGGCAGGGGGGGTTGCTTAATGGGTGAGGAGAGCACAAAGGGGCTCAGGTCTGTTTTGGGGTACAGAGCCAGCTGTCCGCTGCAGATGGGGCAGGTGAAGGGACATGATTTGTTTTGCTCCCCCTGGGTCTCCTTGCCATGGACAGCTGGCCCAGGCCCACGGAGGGGGACAGCTATGGCCCCAGGCCAGAGATCCTCTGGTCTCTCTCTGCTTCCAACTGCAGCCAGGCCCAGCCTAGCCTGGCCCTGCCCTGGGACTGACCCTCTTCCGCCTCCATCATCCCAGATCTTCGCCATGTTCTTTGCCTTCTGCCTTTACTACAACTTTGACTGAGCAGGGCAGGGACACGCCTGGGGCTTTGGGAGCCACCGAGGACATGGCCTTTCATCACACATCAGAGCACCGCTCATCACTGAGCTTCATCGCTTCCCAGGCATTGGGAACCTCACCAAGTCCTGTCTCTGCTCCAGAGATGGGCCTCGCTCGCTTTTCTGGAAGCAGGGACAAGACATGGATTAAATTCCTATTAAATTAAGGAACCTGCAGAGCAAGAGGCCAAGCACCTGTCTTGCTCCTGATGTGATTTGCCGTCAGCCCTCATCTTTGGATCTGTGGAAGCACCAAGAATTGTCCTCTTTAGCCCAATCCTCTCAGGCTCCTCACCCTGTACATCACATCACTGACATCCTGCTCTTCACCATCTGTCCACTCCCAGATCTCCGGTAATCCTCTGGGCTCTTCCTCACCTGCCCCGAGCTATTTCTTGTCACTGACCACCTCCTGGAGTCACAAGAGAGCCAAGACACCATCCAGGTTATCCTAAATGGTCCAACTGGAACCTAACAGACTGCTCTGGAGAGCCGAAGTTGTTAAGACTTGAGTTTAATGACTCATCCCTTGAGGTTACATGGAAAATTAAGCCCTTCCTGGAGAAGGATTTTCACCAGGTGGTTCTGACCCATCTGCTACTCAGCTCCAGCTCTCAGTTGTGAAAATAGAAACTGAACTACTTGGTGCAATTCCTTTGTCTCTGAAAATTAGAAACTGGAAGCAGAAGTGGTGCTTACTGGTTTTATTTTCTTTCAAATATTCCAAAACCTCCACTCAAAAAAAAAAAAAAAGGAAAAAAAACCATAAATGAAAGCTTTATCTTTTATTAACATAATGGAACTTTTCACAAAAAAAAGCAGACCTAGGAAACAGAAACCCAAAGGTGGTGCAGCCCTTTAAAGGCAGGCTCATCCCTTGTACTTGTGTAAGGGGAAGGGAACAGTGACAGTCCTAAGAGAACAAAAGCACCTCATGAATCTGGGCGGGATTTCTTCTCCTTCCTGCTGATGTTACCCCCTTTTCTTTTCTGCTTGATCGATTCACTGCTGGCACTTGTTTTACTCTGGTTGATTTTCTCTTCCAAAGGCTTGGGAACCTTTGATGACCCAAGAAATAAAAGAACGGTGAATAATTTAATTTTACAGCCTTTGGAATGCCCTGTGCTCCACCAAAGTCAGAGCTGACTGAACTCTGGCTCTTACGCGCTGACCCTTTGTTATCCTGCTCCCACTGCTGGGATTTTTAGGAAGGGGGATGACAGAAGAGCAGGATAATGACTGAGCAGGGCAATAGCGCACTCATGGATAAGCCAGGTTGCTCCAAGGCTGTGTGTGTTATTGCCGGGATACCTTCATCCTGTGCACTCCTGAGAACCACAGTTAACTTGGAAATGGGTTGAGAGCTGGAGCAGTGAGCATGGCTCCCAGGGGTCCCAGAGGGAAGACATCCTTATCCCAGAAAGGGTGTTATCCAAATCAGGTGCAGGGAGGGAAGGCAAGGGAGAAGGCCCAAATGTAACTGATTTTTGGGTACAGGTTTTGATCTACTTAAGAGTGATTTATTTTTGAGACTCATTGGTGAGRTGAAGGAGAGGAAAGGCTGTAGGAAGAGAGGAAGGGTGATGGGAGCAAGGCTGCACTCCACCAGGGAATAGGGACACTAGTCAGTGAATGGATGGTCAGATGAAGAACAGGTACAGGTGGGCATCAGGCACAGCCACAGGAGGACAGGGACAGAGCTAAGGGAGGAAAGGGCTGCAGGATCCCTGGGAGGGGTTTATCCAGCTGTAACTCCTCCTCTTCGAGCAGCATGGCAGTTTTTAGTGAATGAGCACATTTAATTGGAAGGAGAGGATGTAATGAGTTTTAAAAATATAATGAAAGTAAATACAGATCCAAAACAGAATAGAAGTAGAGAAAGAACAAAGCAACTGTGAAAGGGAAACTGAGACAAAAGAACTGTAGACCAAGAGGGAGCTACACCCAGTGAGCAGAGCATGGTCCTTACCCTCGGCTGCCCTGCGTATTTTGCAGTCCACTCCCTGGCATTGAGCAGGAACAGCTGCTTGTTGTACTTGTACTCCGAGGACTACATGGGAAGAGCAAGACAAAGACAGATTTAACTGATTTAACATGTCACTGAGAAGCTAGGACCAAGTCTGGCTTTAGGGCTCCTAAACCAGACCAAAACCACAAGCATGAAGTGTACAATTAATTTTGTTTGCTTGAAGAACTCATGCTGCCATTTGTACTGGGGACAATGGCTTGAAGACAAGACCTTGACCATCTCTTCTGGCCTCAGCTGCCTCAGGGAAGTCCAGGGATTTCCCAGCTGATTCAGGTCACACTGAATTGTATGTCAATCCAGAGCGAGTGAAGTGGAAGTCAAGCCTAAATAATCCAGCCCCCCACTCCCTCCCCACCTGTGTCCATGGCCAGGAAGGAAGGAGAGAAACACACATACTATGTCAGCCATGAGGGGGTCATCAGGGTTGGGCTCTGCCATCAGCAGCTGGATGGAGGTCAGCAGGGTGGAGATGTTCAGGGAAGGCCTCCATGCACCCTATAAGGAAACGGGATGAGAACAGCAGCTTAGAAAGAGAAACCAGCACATGGCAACACAGAGACACCTCAGAACCCACAGCACTTCAAGTTTACCTGCCCACAGCTGCCTGGGGACTTCCAGCACTTAATGCTCCATGGAACATACCAGACTTACTCTCAATATCAGGCTCCAAGGAAGCCCAACTACCAACCAGGGCAGTGGTCGTGGCTCCAGGGCTGCCAAAGCTGAAGGAGAATTTGGACAATGCTCCCAGGGACGAGGTGGGACTTTAGGGTTGTCCTGTGCAAGTTCAACTCGTGTCCCTTCCAGCCCCACGATTCCGTGGGCTACATCCTGCACATCTCTGCTGTGTTGCGGCAACTCATTTTCAGACCTAATACCTTGTGACTCTAATCCTTAAAATCTTGGAAACTTATATAGAATAAGGAACATTATGTTCTGTGTCTAAACAAAGGAGATGACACTCAAAAACTTCACTCCCTGCTCTTTGTGAATAAATCAGGAGCAAATAGACATTCAATCAGGCTTTTACAGGGAGCAGATAAGGAGCTCATTATCCTCCCCCGGCTCACTTACTCATATCCAAGCACTGTCTTACCTTCGGTGGTAACTTAAGAATATCCAGGCAAATCCTTCCAGCAGAGTCAATGTTAGGATGGTAGATGGGGGTCAGGAAGCGAATCTTTGGTGGCTCAAATGGGTACCTGAAGGGATAAGAGTTAATAAACAAAAGGTTATTGCTGTATCTGTAGGCCAGTTGTTTTGCCACCCAAGCAATGCCATTGTTTCCTCCTCCTGGCCTACATGACACCCTTCCCCACATATCTTTGGAGGAGGCAGTGCTCTGCCTTTGCTGCTTCTAGATGTGTCCAACTAGYACTTCCCTGGATAACCTTCCACAAGGGAGCAACACAAGAAACTTTGTACTGATGAACAAGCTCTTTCCAGAAAGCTTTGAGACAGTATGATGAGGCAAAAGACTTCTCACTGCACTTTTAGGTTTTTAATCACACACCGTTGATGTTCAATGCAAAGTAAGTGTATGATCCACTGAAAAAACTGCATTCCTTAAAAAAAGGGTCTCAACCCCATTCCTTGTTGGGAGGATAAAGGAAAGACCTACATGGTAGCATTTATAGCAAATACCTTACATCAGTTAACCCATATTTGAAAGCAGGAGTACACCAACTACTGAAGCAGAGAGTCAACCTGGTTTGGGTGGGAAGGGACCTTAAATCCCATCCCATTCCACCCCACTGTCATGGGAGGGACACCTTCCACTATCCCAGATTGTTCCAAGCCCCATCCAACCTGGCCTTGGACACTTCCAGATACAGGGCAGCCACAGCTCCTCTGGGCACCCTGTGCCAGGGCCTCCCCACCCTCACAGGGAATATATTCTTCTTAATTAGTCTAGCTAGATGTTATTACCATTTACCTTTCAGGAACTATGATTTCCAGGTTGAATATTCCTTTATCATAGGGTGTGTCTGCACCTCCTAAAATTTCTTTAGGAGCAAGATGAAAATATAAGCATTACATTCAAAACCAGAATCACAGAATGGTTTGGGTTGGAAAGGACCTCCAAGATCATCTCATTGCCCAGCAGTCCCCATGTACCTCCCACAGTTACAGGGCTGCTCAGGTGACAGAATCATTAAGAGTTAAAAGACACCTAAAAGGCCACCCAGTTACACAAACACGTTCCACTATCCCAGGTTGCTGAGCCTCATCCAACCTGGACACTCCCAGGGAYAGAACAGCCACAACTTATCTGGGCAGCCTGTGCCAGGGCCTCACAGCGAAGAATCCAGGAATAAAAAACATCATCTTATGTGAGACCAGTTCCCCTCCATAGCAATCAAAATTGAGGGCAGACCATCCAAGGCATAGGTCAAGCTGTATTTAAAGAAAAACAAAATCCCACACTTCCACATAGCCTATAAAGCCCAAAGAACACAGACCTAGCAGCAAGCTGTAAGCCAACCCTGCCTTTGGGAACCCCTGAGGTACATACGTGCCCGCAGGTCATTGAGCTGCCCGTTCTGCCAGCAGGTGATGCCTGGAGGTGGCTCTGTGGCCAGGAGAGAGAGCTCCCTTGATAGTCGTGAGGTTCTCTGCATGGTGCTGGAACTCCAAGACCAGATTCTATTCCTGACAAACCTGAATTTTCCAAAATAGCACTTTAGATTGAGCAATTTTTTTGGCTAAAGACCTGGGTTTTGAGCTGTTATCCTGATGTGATAACAAAGTCACAGAAAGGTTGACCCTGTTCCTGGAGCTGCCATTGGAACCAGCTGGAGGAGGGGAATGAGATTTCCACCTTCTATAGTCCATCCCATCCCCTCAGTCCCAGCTGAGTCTAATAAACCCTGGATTTTAACAAACCCTAATGAACTGGGAAGCCATGACCCGGCTCCAAACCCCTTATGGGACTGTGACATCTGCCCTGGGACCACCTGTGTCCCTTCATGGTTAGGGTACCCACTGCCCTACTGGGGCCACCCATCAGTGCCCCTGCCTACCCGAAGGCTTCATCTCCCACTTCTTGTGCAGGAGGAAACCCCAAACCTGCCTCAGGGATGGGCCACTCCCTATCACAGCAATGCCCCTGACACCCYTACAGCAGGGGTCTGCCCTGCCCTCCAGTCCTCATGGACAGCGACATGGGGACACTCTCCAGTCCACCCCGAAGGGACCTGGCTTGATAACCCACCACAGCCCTACCCACTCACGCTGAGGATGGGAAGGACAACTTCCTAGGCCTAACTGTCCCCTCCAGGGGGAAGTTTCTCCTCAGGCACCATTAACACCACACCATTAACACAACCCCCTTCCCGACCGAACACCCTTCAGTCTCACTGCACYCTCAGCCTGACTATCCCCACCGAAGAAGCGTTTCACCCCCTCCATCAGCCTAATTAATTAGGCCCTCAGCCTAATTACCCCCTCAAACGGGCAAGGGCTGCGCCCCCCTTCCCATTCTCCAAGGATGAGAACGGCCTCCCACAACCTCACCCTTCAAAGAGCTCTCACAAAAACCCTTCAGGAACAACCTCTGCCTCCACCGTCTCTCCTTACCCAGGACTAATTAACCCCTCACTCTAAATAATTACAACCCCAGCTCCGCCAAGGCCCGAGCCCCGTTTTTTCGCTCCACCAGACCCGTGAGGCTGAGCGCGGAGGGGGCGGGATTTCCGCCATCGCCTGGCAACGGGCGGACGCCTGGCGGCCAGCCCCGCCCCCTGCCCTGCGCGGGCGTTGATTGGGCTGCCCTGGCCTTTAGCCCCGCCCTCAGTTTGAATTTTGGCCCTGCCATTGGGTGAGCGCTGCGGGCGGGAACCCAAACCCACCCCTATTGAAATACACACCGGGGGAGCGGCCTGAGGCGGTCATGGGGGTGCCGGAGCGGGGTTGGAGCCGCTCTAGGACGCCTCGGTCTCGGACCCTTCCACTCTGAACCGCGTTAAACTTCCGCGGACAGTGGGCACAACCCCACTGGGAGCGGTCCTTACGTAACCAGCCTGTCTCAGCTCCTCCTCCCCTGGCTGGTGTTGTATAAGCGGCCCCGTGGGGCGAGGAAGTGGCGCCGCGCCCGCCGCCACCCCAGGCCGCGGTGAAAGGAGGTGAGGGTGGGCTCTGGGAGCCCCCCAGGGAGGAGGCGGGGGGCCGGGACGGACAGTTCGCCCCCGCTGCTGCGGGGCTGGCGCAGGGGCCCCCCTTCCTCGTCCCCTCCTCGCCACTTCCCCTCTCGTGTGAGGGGCCTGGGCAGGGGATCCCGGAGCCCCAGCCTGTCTCCCCACCCGCCCCGTAGCCCATGGGTAGAGACTCTTGGAGACGGTTCTCCACCCACTGCAGGGGAAGCCCCAGTCAAGCCTCTACACTTGGGTGGATTTGGGACTTCTTTCCTACTTTGACTCCAAATGCCATTTTCTTGCATCAAAGCTGTATCCAGCACCGTATTTACCACGTAAAGTATTCAAGCAGGGGAAAGAACGCAGAGTCTGGAATCAACAGTAGCCTCAGGTCTGTCTCAGTGTGGATAGTGGGATTATGGAACCATATTTATGCCAAAAGTTCATTCTTAGGTCCCAGTTAAGAATTGTTCTCAAGCCTGTCAAATCAGAGTAACATTAAATAACTTAACCGTAATAATTATTCCACTTCCCAAGTCCAGACTGTGGTTTCAGAGAAAGGTGTGAGACTGCTCTCTCCAGGTGTCTTATACCTCTTTAACTGTTACTATTGCTTCTGAAGCAGAGAGGATATAGCCGAGGAGCATCCATGGCTGGATTAGACAATGGAGAGTGCCCTGCAGAGGAATTTAACCTGTTAAAAGTTTCACTTCCCAGTTTCTAGGCCTTGTTCTGTCCCTGCCCCATCTGGCTCTGCCAGCTCTTGAGGGCCAGTGGGACCAGAGAGGAGCTGCCTACAATCCTCCTCCTTCTCTCTTGGGAATTACACAAAAGCCTGAGTAGCTCAAACAATCTTTGGTGCAAAATCCACCTCAGTGCAGATACTTATGTTATTTGGGAGTGTTTAAACCTGGGCAACTAATTTCTTGACATCTGTAGGAGYAGGACCAGCACAGTGGGATTTGGATGGTGACATGGACAGCCCTTGCATCCCTCCAGCACATCCCTGCCTGTGGAGAGAAATGCTCAACAGTGGGAGAGCCAGGATCAGTGACTGCGTGACCTCTTCTTTTTGGGTGATGTGCTGTAAAGACCTGGATTGTCAGCTGGGCAACCATTGAGGTAAGGCCTCGTTTTCCCTGCTTTGTCTTGGTGTACCTGTCCCAAAGTGCAGGGATGAATCCAGCATGAGGTGTATTTTCTGGCTGCCTGGTTGTTATTTTGGGGAACAGAYGTGATCCAGACATGGCAGGAATTCTGCCCAGCCTTGCTGGGATTGAGTCACTGGTTCGTGGGGAGGTAGAAGAGTAACAGTGGATAAATCCAAAATGATGTCAATGACCGACAGCATCTGCTCTGCCTTCCCACCCAGCATCTCAGAGGATCTTCCCCTTGCTCCTGCCAGGGCAGGAGTATCTGAGGGCACAATTCCTTTCTGACACCACCTATGGCCTGCACAAGTGATCCCCTCCCCATTCCTTCCCACCCAGCAGGGGATCCCAACTCCTCACCCAGCCCTGACACTTTTTTGTCTCTGGGCTCCTTCATTGCCCAGTGAGCTCAAGTCCTTTTTAATGGAGCCCCTGCTCCTCCCAGCCCCTTTCARTGAAATCCCTGTCACCCACTCTGATTTTCCCAGTCCCCTTTAGTGGGATCCCCAGAGCTGTGCTGAACCTAGGCCCTGCAGCCCACCCAGGCCCTGGCCTGGGGGCCACCTGCCCTATGCCCTGCTGTGGTGTGGTCCTGCTCCCCACTGCTCATTCAGGGATGCCGGCCCTGGAAAGGATGGGATGGGTCTCGATCTGGGGACACCATGGCCTTGGGGCCATCCCATGGGCTGTGTAGGGGCACTGGGCTCAGAGTGATCCCATAGGCTATGTAGAGGTATAGGCCCTTGGATTGGAGAGCCCCATAGGCTGTGTCTTGGGATGGCTGTGTTCCAAGAGGAAGTGTGGGGCTCAACCCTCGACTCAGAGCAGTCCAAGCTATGGGAGTCTCACTGGGTGAGTGTGATCCCACAGGCTTCATGGGGCTGCGGGGCCCTGAATTTGGGGTGACCCTGCAGACCATGTGGGGCCATACAGCTTGGGACATCCCCAAAGGCTGTTTGGGCCTTGGAGCCCCTGACTTGGGGCAGTCCCTCAGTGAGGCCAGCTGGTGCCTAGGCTGCAGGGGACTCTTTCAGCATGCTTTGCATGGTTTMGTACCCAGAAATGCCAGCTGGCTGCTCCCCTGAGCAACGGGAGTCACCTTGTTTTTCCGGTTCTGCCAGGAAGTGGGTGCAGGACGGTGCGGAGCTTGGGTGCAGGGCAGAGCACCCCACACAACCCAGCCCTGCGTTGGGCTGGCACCCTGCACTTGTGAGTTTGGGGCCTTCACTTATTAGGTGCTTGTAACAAACCGGGTTTGTATGGGTGCTGCTGGTGCATGTTTTTGGGAAACGGAGCAAATCAGGTTTATGGGAAAGCTGCTGGATGTGGGTTGAGTGGTGACGGGGCTGAGTTGCTGGGTGCAGCCATTGGTGAGGGGGTGACTGGATTTACTTGTCTGAAAGAGCTGAGTAGGATTAGAGATTAGGGATTAGGAAAGAACCAAACAATCTCTTAATTTTCCTCTGGGGTAATGCTCAAGATTAGCAGCAGGTGGGGACCCACCTGGGAGGTGGGCATTGAACTCTCCCCATATTCCTTGGGATAGTGAATTTGGAGGTGCTGCTAGTCTCGGTGCAGACACGGGGTGGCARCTGGGCTCTGCCTTTGCTTCTTGGCATCTGCGAGTCTGTTGTAGAGAACAGGGCAGACAGAGCTTGGGAGCTGCTTCCCAAACTACCCTGAGACCCAAGGTCAGCGCTGTTGCCAGTCCTCTGAAATCAGCTGAAGTGGTTCAAAGGGGAATAAATGTATGAATCAAGAGTAATTTTGTGTCATTATCACACTCAGCTCTGCTCTGGAGACAAGCTGGGAGAGTTGGGGGTGTCCAGCCTGGAGAAGAAAAGGGGAGGCCTCAGASCCCCTTCCAGTGCCTCAGGAGAGCTGGAGAGGGACTTGGAATAAGAGTCCTTGGGAAGGGGGAATGGCTTCCTACTGCCAGAGGACAGGATTAGATGGGATTTTGGAAGAAATTCCTCCCTGTGAGGGTGGGGAGGCCCTGGTACAGGCCTTTCAGACAAACTGTGGCTACCCCATTCCTGGAAGTGTCCAAGGCCAGGCTGGATGGGGCTTGGAGCAACCTGGGRTAGTTGAAGGTGTCCCTGCCCATGGCAGGGGGGATAGAATTGGAAGATCTTTAAGGTCCTTTCCAACCCAAACCAGCATGGGATTTCTGAAATCCATAAATTCAGATATTTCCTGCTGAAAACCCCTGACAGAAGGAGTGTTGTACCAGGTCTTTGATGAATTAATTGTTCCTGCGGAGCTCCTGGAAATGAGCTGATAACTTCCAGAGGGTTTGCTAATAGCCACATCTGTGGGGTCAAAAAGTGCATTAAGTGGAGCTCTGGCAGCTCCATCTGTTTTGAGTCCTTCCTTCTGGTGAGTGTTATTGGGATGTAATTTCATTGAGCGATTTGATTGACTCATTTGGGGCAGAGGCCATACTCCGTGGAACTGGGTGATGTTCCTGCTGCTGAATAGTGGGGTCTGAGGAGAGGTTTGGTCCTGTTACTGCTCTTCCTCTCTCATGAAAACTTATCAAAAGCAAGAGGTTTGTGGTAAAATTTTTTTTTATTTTTTTTGAGCTCCATTTCTAATTGTTAATTGACCTTGTTCTTTGCAGGGATTGGGTATCCTGAAAGCCAAGTGTCCCCTTCCTTCTGCAGCCAGGATGCTGCATCGCACCATTCACCTTTTCCGGAAGGAGCTCCGGCTCCATGACAACCCAGTGCTGCTGGCTGCCCTGGAGTCCTCAGAGGCCTTGTACCCYGTGTACATCCTGGACAGAGCTTTCCTGGCCTCCTCCATGCAGATTGGGACCCTGCGCTGGCACTTCCTGCTCCAGTCCCTCGAGGATCTTCACAAAAACTTGGGCCAGCTGGGCTCCTGCCTGCTGGTTATTCAAGGGGAGTACGAATCTGTTCTTAGGGATCACGTCCAGAAGTGGAATATCACGCAAGTGACGCTGGATGCAGAGATGGAGCCGTTTTACAAGGAGATGGAGGCCAACATCCGGTGCCTGGGGACAGAGCTGGGCTTTGAGGTGCTCTCCCTGGTTGGTCACAGCCTGTATGATACCCAGCGGTATGTGACTGCCCCAAACCCACAACTGTCTCCAGGAAGGTCATTTTAGAATAGAAAAGACCAAATGTCTTATATGTCTTAACTTGTTCCTTTGGAGAAAATTGGACTATCTGAGATGAACATGGTGCTATTTGCTGGAGAAACTTTGTGCATTGGTCTGTTGGAAGGAATAGAAGAGATTATGCACAGGTTTTAGGATTTCAGCCTGGACAGCAGGTTAATTTCTTTCTTTTTGGCAGTTTAATTCACCTAGGAACTTACTGTTTTAAACAGAGTGGAAGAAGTTCTCTAACACATTTGATAGGACTTGTAACAAGTTGTATTAAATGTGGTAAAGAATTTTTGGTGTCAGATTTTTTTTTTAAATCTTTTGAATCAACTTTCACTGGTGTCTGGGTAGCCTTGGATCCAAGCTGTTACTCAGAGCTGAATGACTGAAGGTATTGAAATGACTAGGATGGAAAACAGTAATAACTAAACCAGCCTTAACACTCCAATTATGCAAAACCCCGAAATTATGTAAATGAGTGGATGTGTGTAACTTGCTGTCTCGAATTCAAGCTGTTTGCACATGACTGCGCACTGAGGACAGTTATTTACTGCCCTGAACCTGTTTTTTGTGACACCAGAGGTGTCCCACACCCTGCCTTKTGTGTCCTAGTTGGGTGTGGCTGTATAGGTGAAGCCATGGCTGGAATCCTAATGCCAGTTTTGTTGTCTCAGGACCAGAGAAGCTGCTCTTGGAATAGATGAACATTCATCCAGGAGAGTTTTACTTGTAAAATCTGTAATTTCCACATTCAGTTGCACTAATAGAGTTGTTATAGCCTGTGATGTCACCATCCTGTCCACTGGCAGCTCCAGCTTCTTCCTTGGTTTCTGTTGTGTGAAAAGCAATCTTGATTTTTTTTTTTTTAGGATTTTGGACCTAAATGGTGGGAATCCCCCATTAACTTACAAGAAGTTCCTTCACATTCTGTCTCTGCTTGGTGACCCTGAGGTCCCTGTACGAAACCTCACAGCTGAAGATTTCCAGTAAGTAGAAGGCAGTGAGTGGGAATTGCTGGTCCTCTTTCTCTGCCCAAAAGAAGAGCCAGGGCCAAATGATAACGAGGTGTTTTAAATATTTTCTTGTATTATTTCTGTGCAGGAGGATTATTGATGCTATGTACAGGGCATGTGACTGTTGTTGGGAGGGRAGAGCAGAGGGTGCAATGGTCTGATACTCAGCTCTTTTACTATTTGTGCTCTTTTACTATTCCGACCATGTGGGAAACCTGATAAAATAATGGTTGGATTCAATTATTTAAAGGTCTTTTACTACCTTAATGGTTCTCTGATTCCATAAAAGTCTTAAGCTTTTGCAAGGCATCTTGAGAAAAGTATTTAGGAGATGTCAAACTCTAACAGAGAAATGCCTGGCGAGTTTACTTGAAAGCATGCTCGACATTCCTGCCAAGATTTTGGGCGGGAATTGGATGAACCACTATAGTTTGTTTCATGCAGGAAGTTTGGTGGACTAATCTTACTGTTCCCTCCTGGCTTTAAATCTCTCCTCCCCTTTGCTGCATGGGAAAGAGGGACTGAGCTCGTGTCTCCCTGGACTTGAGAAGAAGCTCAGAGTCAAGGATGTATTGTGTTTAGCTCTGAATGAGGAGAAGTCAGTGATCCAAAGGGAGGTAAGACTGGTGTAGGAGAGAGCTGGGATGGGACTGGAGGTACTTGGGATTCAGTGTCCTCAGCTCAGTGCCACCAGCCCAGGCTTGGGTCTTCTCATCTTGGGGTAATCTTGTTAATTCCTGAACATTGTCCTCAGTCTGATGACAAGACTCATGTAGATACTGGGACATATAAGTTTCTATAATTTTTCTAGCACTGATTTTTTCCCTTTCTTGCCTAATTGGTTTGTTTGGACTTTTTAAATTAATGCTGATGAGAGATAAGTGGTTCACATGCTTCCCAGCTGTGTCAGTGCTCTGAGAGCTGCACTGGCCCCGCCTCTGTAGGTGTCTGCAGCAGAGCTGAGCTCAGGTTTGTCAAGGTAAGTACAAAGGTCTGTTGATGTCTAAGTTCAGTCTCTGTACCACCACCACTTCCTTGGGCCTCTTCCTCTATGTTTTATAGGGGGAAGAAAAACCAAGCTGATGCTCTTCCAGCCTCACAGCGAGGAGGGGACCTGGGAAGCCTCAGCAACTGAGGCTGAAGAAATGAAGGGAGGGGCTGCGGGCTTGGAGAGCCCCCACCTTGGATAGGAATGAGCAGCTGGAGTGGCCCAGGGAGCTGATCTGCTTTCTTACCTATTAAACTGAGAGAGCAGCTTTGGATTAGATCTTGGGAAGAAGTTCTTCCCTGTGCGGGTGGGGAGGCCATGGCATGGGCTGCCCAGAGAAGCTGTGGCTGYCCCATCCCTGGAAGAGTCCAAGGCCAGGTTGGATGGGGCTTGGAGCAACCTGGGATAGTGGAAGGTGTCACTGTCCATGGCAGAGAGTGAAATGGGATGGGTTTTCAGGTTCCCTTCCAATTCAAACCAGTCTGAGATTCAGTGGAATGTCTCACAGGGACCTCTCCTCAGAGACACAGGAGCTGGAGTGGCCTTTGGATGCAGCACCATAATTGTTTCTAGGGTCTGAGGAGGCTCTTATCCGCCTCCCAGGGATGGATGTGACAGCTGGGAGCAGCTGGAGAGAAGCTGCCTCTGAGCCTTGTGTGGGGTAGGGAACCAAGAGGGGTCTGAGCTGTGGGTCTGCAGCCAACTACTCTGAGCACTGTAACTTGGTGGGATTGTTCCTCTTCCCCCAGTACAGTCTAGAATTCCCTGGAGGGTTTTAGGGATGAATTCTTCCCCAGGAGAGTGGAGCTTGGGATTCCTGGCTGTGCTTTCATTCCCTGTATTCTGGCTGAGTCGTGACAGAAGAGACTTGGTGTGTGTCATGGACAAGGGCTGCCTACCTCTTCTGGCTCCTCTTCCCCTTTTCAAGGAGTTTTCTCTCACCTCAGGAGATGTAGGGCCCCTGACTCAGGCCTGGCTGAGTGTTACAGGGTACCTCTCCCTGTTGATTTGAAGATATCCCCAGAGAGCCTTTCCCCTTGGAGAGGAGGGGAGACTGAAGGGCTGCAGCGCCTGGAGCAACACTTGACTGACCAGGTAAGTCCTGATGGAACATAGGGGATGGTGGTGGCTCCTGGTGGGCTGAGGTCAGTGTCCACCTTGGCTTGGAGGAGGGTGGAAGCTTGGGCTCATTGTTTTGTTCTCCTTGATTTCTGGGAAGCGGGAGCATTTTCCGGACATGATATTAAACAAGCCCTTGTGACAGAGAAGCGGGTTCTAAGAGGTTTCCTCTGTTTATTACTGGATGCGTGTGATCTTGTGCTGCCTGAACCTGGATTTCTGTTTTCATTTCAGGGCTGGGTGACAAGTTTTACTAAACCAAGGACAATCCCAAACTCACTGCTTCCAAGCACCACAGGCCTGAGCCCATATTTAAGTATGGGCTGTCTGTCRGTTCGGACCTTTTTTTATAGGTTGTCAAACATTTATGCTCAGGTAAGCAAATAATTGGTCTTAAGTAAGCAGATCCAACACTATGACACATCTGGCATGGGAGATGATAGGATTTAACACCTGGATCATCTTGGTAGAGATTTGGTGTATCAAAAAGTTGCTTTATTAATATCTTCTCACTGTATCCCATTAAATCTGTGGAGTGGCTTCATGTTGTGTGAGCTCATGTGAAACACCTGTGAATGTCTGCAACTCTTCCCAAGAAAGTTTTAGAAGCAGGATAATCACATTCTAAATTCATATTTTTATCAGGAACTGTAGTGACAGGACAAGGGGGAATAGCTTCAAACTGAAAGAGAGTAAGGTTAGATGGGATGTTGCGGACAAATTCTTCCCCGTGAGGGATGTTAGGCACTGACATAGGGTGTCCAGAGAAGCTGTGGCTGCTGCGTGCCTGGAAGTGTCCAAGGCCAGGTTGGACAGGGCTTGGAGCAACCTGGGATTGTGGAAGGTGTCCCTGCCCATGACAGGGAGTGGAATTGGATGAATTTTGAAGTCCCTTCCAACACAAAACATTCCATGATTCTATGAATAGGGAGTAAGCAGACCTCGAATCAGCAGGGAAGGCCAGGAAAACCTTCCTGAATTTGAAGGATTTTWGTTTGCTTGTCTGGTAGATAATGGAAGTTTTTGATCAGTTTATGTAGTTTTGGTTTTGGAAATCAACTGGTTTTGTCTTAGACAAGTTTTACTTGTAGCATAAGCCAAAACCACCTTCTGAAATCTTCTTTGATTTGTAAGAAAAAGAGCTTGAAACCGACCCAAGAAAACCAAAGTCCCCCTGAACCTCCATTTTAAGATTATCTCTTGAGACATGGCTGAGCCACCTGAAATCAGTTAAGACATTAATAAACACATATTTGGTGTAAGAAATCCCAGTGTGACATTGTTTCGGAAGGTAGATGGAGAATGTTTGAGGTAACACTGAGGTCTGGCTTTGAGCCAGACAGCATTGCCTCAGATCTTTGATTTCCTTGACTTGAATGCTCAAGTGCCTTGACACACAGCTATTGTGGTCAGGTTAATGTTTATTTAGTGAGGCTGCAATTACATATGTGTATGAACTGAAGTGCCAGAGAAGTCACTTCTTGTCTTTTGCAGGCAAAGCACCACTCTCTGCCCCCAGTGTCACTCCAAGGGCAGCTGTTGTGGAGGGAATTTTTCTATACAGTGGCATCAGCAACCCCCAACTTCACTCAAATGGCTGGGAACCCCATCTGCCTCCAGATCCGCTGGTATGAGGACGCAGAGAGGCTCCACAAATGGAAAATGGTAATAAGGTGCACAGCCACAGCCGCTGCACTGGAAGTCAGAGCTTTCCTCCTCCCTTGATCAATCCCTGCTGGTGGTTTGAGGGGGTCTTGCAGTGGTCTGACAGGCTGGGAGAGCTGGGAATGTTCAGCCTGGAGAAGAGAAGGCTCCCGGGTAACCATACTCTTCCAGTGACTAAAGGGGCTCCAGGAGAGCTGGAGAGGGACTTCGGATGAGGGGTGAAGCCAGAGGACAAGGGGGAATGGCTTCCCACCACCAGAGGGCAGGGTTAGATGGGATATTGGGAAGAAGTTCTTCTTTGTTGTGGGTAGGGAGGCCCTGACGCAGGTTGTCCACAGAAAGTGTGGCTCCCTGTCCTTGGAAGTGTCCAAGGCTAGGTTGGAYGGGGCTTAGAGTGAACTGGTCTAGTGGAAGGTGTCTTTGCCCCTGGCAGGGGGTCGAATGAGCTTTAAGGTCCCTTCCCACCTGACCTATCCTGGGATTTTGTGAAAACAGTGTGTGAAGGGAGGGCTGATGTTCCTGTTCTGCTGCAGGCACAGACGGGGTTCCCATGGATCGATGCCATTATGACCCAGCTGCGCCAGGAAGGCTGGATCCATCACCTGGCTCGGCATGCTGTCGCCTGCTTCCTGACCCGGGGGGATCTTTGGATCAGCTGGGAAAAGGGAATGAAGGTTCACTGCTGACTTTTATTTTTCCTCTGTTCTGCCTGGCCCTGAGAAACCCTGTACAGCCTGAGTCTAGCAGTGGGAGGGTTCCTTCTGAGGAACCTTCTGAGCCTCCCTACGAATTTTAGAGTTTATGGAATCTCTTGGTTTGTGGTGAAAGGTCATTCCTTTCCCCAAATCCTCATGATTTTTGGACAATGAGGATAGTGGTGGAGACACACTTAGTCTGTAGCAGGTCTCAAACCCAAAGTTTTTGGGTTGCTCTCTCTTCCTTCTGTCTTTGTGGAGAGCATTCCCAGAGTGCCTGTGAGGAGGCAGTACAGGCCCCACAATGCTATGCTTCCAGTAGCACCCCCCACTCTTCACTCACAGCCTGCTTTTGTCTAGTTTTGGCAATGTAGCCATTTCAGGGTTGTTTCTCTCTTTCCCTTCCCATCCCTGATGTGCAGGTGTTTGAAGAGCTGCTTTTAGATGCCGACTACAGCATCAATGCTGGGAACTGGATGTGGCTGTCAGCCAGCGCCTTCTTCCACCAGTACACACGGATTTTCTGTCCTGTCCGCTTTGGGAAGCGCACGGACCCCCAGGGCAACTACATCAGGTCAGGGGATACTCCACCCCACCATCTACTCCCTCAGAGCTTCCCAAGCTCTTCTGACAGCAGAAGCTGATGAACTGGATTTGTTTGAAACACACACATCTGTTAAATGGGGCTCATAGCAATGGTTTTGTTGAACACATGAAGAAGCAGAGGCATGGAGAAGCCGAGAGATCCTGTGGTTCCAAGCGATGGCTGAGCAGGGCTTGTGTTCATTTGTGACCACTCCAGCACCATGTTTGGTCACCAGGCTGGCTCCTCTTCCTAAAAGATTAGAGTAGAACTTCCCACAGCTTTCCTGGTTCCTGTSTGCCCTTTTTTGCTTGCTTTTCATAGAATTCTGGGATTGTTTGGCTTGGAAGAGACTTTAAAGCTCATCCCATTCCACGCCCTGCCATGGGCAGGGACACTTTCCACTGTCCCAGGTTGCTCCAAGCCCTGACCTTGGACACTTCCAGGCACAGGGCAGCCCCAACTTCTCTGGGCAGCCTGTGCCAGGGCCTCCCCACCCTCACAGGGAGGAATATCCCAATATCCCATCTAACCCTGCCACCCTTTAGTGGCACACATGTAGGTTTTATTTTCCACTCTAAATCCTCTTTGCTTCATTTCCTTCTCTCTCCATAGGGTGCTCATGGGCTCTCAAAGCACGGGGGTGTCCTGGGCTCACTGTGTTGATGTTGATCAAACAGCTCCATTTCCCCACACCTCTTCTTCTCATTCTGTCTAGACTTGGGTATTGCCAAGAAGAAGCCCATGCTGATATACCTGACAGAGTGGGACAGAAAATTACTTTTCCATTCTGCAACAATATTTTTAAATTGGTTTGGTTTTTAAATTTATTAGTGTGTTTAGGATGAAATTCAGTGACAATGTTAAAAACRTATTTTGGATGAAATCAAAACTGAAATACTGTTTAAATCACCCCATTTATTGTATGCCATAAAGTTAACTTTTGAAAGATATCGCCTATGAAGGTTTGAGGACATAGAAATAATTCTTTTGAGGAGAATTAATCAGAATTTTCCCATGGATTGTAATATCAATATTAACATGGCACAGGTTGGTTTACACTTCTCTGAATGTATGAGTATTTGCCTGCAGGATTATAAGCCTTCCTATTATCCGTGTATTGTAGGAAATACCTGCCTATCCTAAAGAATTTTCCTTCCAAGTACATCTACGAGCCCTGGACAGCATCTGAAGAGGAGCAGAAGCAAGCAGGGTGTATCATAGGTAATTCATTCACATTCCTTGCTAATGATTTCACTGCTGCTAACTATCCAAAATAAATATGTGGATGAGATGGTAGCATCACACTTCCAACACAAGTCATTTATCTTCTGAAAATGGATGAATCCAACAGAATGGATGAATCCAAGCCTCTCTTCTGTTAATTCTCCTTTAGCCTTTTTTTTAATGGGAATTTCATTTCAGAGTACATATTTTTGTCTCAATTTTATGTCCTAAAACTTTGGGATCACTCTAGGCTTTTGCCTTTGATTTTATCCATCTTGGATGCTTGGCTGCTTTAAATAGTATCAGAACACCTTGTGCTTTTACTTCTGCTCTAACACATCTTTGAAGGCTCTTATGTCAAAATGGGAGCTCTTCTCTTTGATGGAGAGGAGTAGGCACTTCCATTTATTTTAAGAAAAGCTGGAAGTATTTTAAATTCAGGGAAATCTCCTTGCTGAGTTCTGTAAAGGCTCTGTCTTCACATTGCCCAGGTCAGGATTACCCCTTCCCCATGGTGAACCACAAGGAAGCCAGTGACCACAACCTGCAGCTGATGAAACAGGTCCGAGAGGAGCAGCACAGAACAGCCCAGCTCACGAGAGGTGAGAGGTACAGCAGCACCCAAGTTCCTGTGCTGTGACATACAGGCTGTCCCCAGGAACCCAGGGCTCTGGGTGCTCTTTCAGCATACTTTTCCTCTTGGGATACCAACATCTTGCACTCCTCTTCTGGTTACTGTTAAAATGCTATCTCAAATGGGAGAACAAGACGTTGAGCCTTTTCTTCCTTCCCTCTCCCCTTGGAGCAYCTTTCTACCTGCTACAGGAATACCTTGCCAAAATCAGATCTTCTCCACCTGCCCAGACTCCCTAGTGCTAGGCTGGCTGGGTGTGTCTCCAAGGTGTAGAAATCTCTACAGCTCTGCCCATGCCTCTTGTGACCCACAGCATCCTTGTTTGTCCTCGGTTCCATTGTCTGCCCTGTGCTGTAGCTGGGATTGAGATTTCCACTGAGCACTAAGCTCTGGAGAGATGAGTTGCTCCAGGAAATTTACCTTGTGGCTTGGTGTTCTGCATTGTTTAACCCTACAGATAACAATCAGGTAGTTATCAGATAAGACTGGAACACTCAAACTGTGCTGATCCTGAAGTAATTAATTGGTTCAATATTTCCAGTCACACAGACATGTCACTTATGGCACCTTTGCCATACAGTTTATGTACATATATACATGGCACCTTATTTTTTAATGTTGAAATCCCAGGGCCTGGCTGAGCTCAGAGGAATCCTTCTCAGGAATCATGGGATCTCAGCCTGGTTTGGGTGGGAAGAGACCTTAAAGCTCATCCCATTCCACTCCCTGCCAGGGCAGGGACACCTTCCACTATCCCAGGGTGCTCCAAGCCCCATCCAGCCTGGCCTTGGGCAGTTCCAGGGATGGGGCAGCCACAGTTTCTCTGTGCACCCTGTGCCAGGGCCTCCCCACCCTCACAGTGAATAATTCCATCCCAATATCCCATCCAACCCTGCCCTCTGGCAGTGGGGGGGCATTTCCTGTGTCCTGTCACCCCATCCCTTGTCCAAAGTCCCTCTCCAGCTCTCCTGGAGCCCCTTTAGGCACTGGAAGGGTCTTTAAGGTCTCCCTGAAGCCTTTTCTGCTCCAGGCTGAATATTCCCARCTCTCCCAGCCTGGCTCCATAATGGAATGTAAGTGACAAAATACCTTTTTATTTAACAGTGGGCTACAGCAGCTTCTCTGTATTACAGAAACCCAACATGCAGCAGCTGAGGGGACCCTTAGCTATTCCTTCTTCCACTGCTCTTGTCTGTGGTAATTAATTGTTCCAAACCCTGAAATGGATACCTGTTAATGTGTCCAGGAGGTTGCACATTGGAACACTAGAGGTGTTACCACTGTGTGCTGGCAGTTCTTCCAGAAGCCCTGTGGTACCGGGGACTAAATGTTGGAGCTGTTGTTAGATTGGGAGCGCCAAAATCTGAACAGCAGAGTCCCTGACTCGGAGCGTTATCCAGCACCCAACTCAGTGTGAAMCCAGCTCATACAGGTAACAGGTGGTGGAATAGAGTAATGGCTAAGGAGTTGGGTGGTGCTTGGAGCAACATGGAAGGTGTCCCTGCCCATGGATCAAGATGAGCTTTAAGTCCCCCTCCAATCCAATTCATGCTGGGATTCCATGATTCTTGTTGCCTGTGAACAGAAGCATTTTCTGGAATACTTTGTATCTACACCTGACTGAAATCAGAGGAAAACTTGCAAACTTTAATCTGTCTTCCCTTCTCATTATAGATGATGCAGGTGACCCCATGGAAATAAAGGTAAAATGTGACCTCTCTGAAGAAAACATTTCAAAAGGAAAAGTGGCCAGGATGACAAAATAAACWGAGGTTCCCTCACGGATCACCTGCTGGGAACAAAAATAAAAGCAAGAGGGGTGAGCTAGGGGCCRGCTGAGGTGGCCAAAGCACTGTCCTCAGTATTTTTCCCTGCTAATGTTGCTTCATGCTTGTGACCTGATCTCAGGAAAGGTGTTGGATCTTGAATAATGTTAGTGCAGTTATTTTGGATGGAATTGTTTATCTTTGAGTGGCTTCTCAAAGTGGCTTTGAGTGGACCATTGGTTGAAGCTGTTGGGTGAATGCAAGAGGTGCCTGGTTGTGGCAGGACTTGCCGCTGCAGTGTCCTTCAAATCCTTGTGTTTCATGCACCTGTATAAATAGATTTTTTGATAAATACTAATTTCAATGTCTGTTGAAAACTGTGTGCACATTAATGTGGTTACACATTAGTATTAGGACCTTGATTTGCTTGTTTTGTAGAGACAGAGATTTTGGAATGTTCAGATGATTTATTTTAAGTTCCCAGTTTGTGATAGTCCTCAGGTTGGGGAGACAGAGCAGAATGCAGACCCTCGTACCTTGTGTGTAGTTTTTAAGTCATAAGTAGGAATTCTTATGCATTTTATGTACAACTTTATAACTTTGAAAATGTCTGATTAAAATATACAGCTTTATCACCATAACTCCCCTCCTCGACTAATTCCTCCAGAACTACAGGGCAGAGATTAATTCTATCATGTATCACATGGAAAAAATTCCGCTCCTACTGAAATGTGTCCTTGTGAACTTTGACAAGGCAGGATTAATCAATTATGGTTGGGATTTTGGGGGGTAGGGGAGCGCAGTGGGGYTTGCAGGGTTTTCATGGCTGTAGGTACTCTTTTGGATTTGGAAAGAAATAAAACTTATTTCTGACATGACCAATGCAAGGGCTCTGGAGGAATCTGTTGCCAAGATTGGTATCCATCTATCCTGCCAGGAAACCATCAGGCCTCATGACAGCTCCAGCAGCAATCCAAACTCCTTGGAAGATCCCAGGATCTGGTGCAGGAGCAACACAGTAACCACGAGCACCAGGAGGAGGCCATAAACTGCTCCTGACAGGATCTTCCAATGTGCTGGAGACCTGCAGGATCTGTCAGGGAAGAGGACAGTGGCAGCAGGGCAGGAGATGTAAATACAAAGCTGCAAGGATTCTCCTGCTGCTCCAAGCCCTTCCTGTAGCTGAAGGAATTTATGGCATCATGTCTGAGCCTGGCCCCAGTGCAGAGGCCACAGGAATGCAGAGCTGGCTCCTGCCTTGTGTTCCAGGCACAGTCTTTGCACTCAAGCCCTAGAGGGGCTGATCTTGCTTCCYGAAATGTCTCTGTCTTGAAGTGTTTTGTGTTCCCTGAGCTTCAATGAGTCCTGAGGCTGTGTTGTACAGCACAAGTGCGGAATCCCAGACTGGTTTGGTGGGAAGGGACCTCCAACGTCACCCAGTCCCACACCCTRCCATGGGCAGGCACACCTTCCACTGTCCCACGTTGCTCCAAGCCCTATCCAGCATGGCTTTGGACACTTCCAGGGATGGGGCAGCCACAGCTTCTCTGGAAAGTCTGTGCCAGGGCCTTGCCACTMTTTCAAGACCTCTTTGGGACTCCTGTTGTTGGAAAGCAGCTTCATTGTCTGGTCCGTGGTTGGGAGGAGCAGACTTGGCCTGCAAATGAGCTGCTGTGAGAGTAGGAGCAGTGTTTGAGCAAGAAACAGCAAGTGCTGTTGGAGACTGACATCTGCTTCTGGCTGACAAAGTAGCATTGGAGAAGTTTCTGAAAGAAGCAGAACTATGGAATTACAGAATCCTTGAGGCTGGAAAAGCTCTCTGAGATCGCCAGGTCCAAATGTTTCCCTAGCACTGCCACCTTCACCACTCACCTGTGTTTCCAAGTGCCACATCCACGTACTTTTGGAACACTTTAAGGGGTGGTGACGCCACCACTGCCCCAGGCAGTACTTGCCATGTCCTGACCACCCTTTTTAGGAAGAAATTTTTCATAATATCCAACCTAAAACCTCCCCTGGGGCAACCTGAAGAGTCTTGTATTTTCAGTGCTGAACCCTTGTGTCCTGTCCCTGTTCCCTGGGAACAGAGCCCAACCCCCACCTAGTTGCCTGCTCCTGTCAGGGAGTTGTGCAGACCCACAAGGTCCCCCCTGAGCCTCCTTTTCCCCAGGGCTGAGCCTTCCAGCTCCYTCAGCTGCTTCTCAGGCTCCAGAACCTTCCCCAAGTCCATTTTCCTTCCTTGGGCACACGCCAGCCCCTCAAGGTCCTTTTTGGGGTATGGGGCTCAAAACCAACCCCAGGACTGGAGGTGGGACCTCATCAGTGCCCAGTGCAGGGGTACAGTCACTGGATGGACTGTACAAGTGGACCATGGCCAGTAGAAACATCCTGAAGTCTCCTTCCCCAGCTGCCACTGGAAAGGGCTGAGCTGGTTTGTGATCTCATGGCCAAGAGACTCTGTAAAAATGAATCACTGGTAGAGTGCACTGGTAGATCTGTCTCTGCCTCTTTTTCACTGCTGAGGGGACCTTGGAGGCAGCAGGATTTGATGTGGAATTGTTCACATAGTGAATCATCAGAATTCACCTGATGCAGCTTTCTGACTTGGGTGGAGACAAGTGATGGCATCTTTGCTGGGCATTGCTGGTGTGATCCAAAGCAGCTCTGGCTTGGCAGTGGTGATATCTGAATTTGGGCCCCCTTAGGTGCATTTATTCCAGCAGGGAAAGGTGTCTGATGGTGTTGATTTTGTTTTATTTTTATTTTTCTCACCACTCCTGCCCCTCCCTTGGCGCCCTCAATCCTCTCCAACATACCCAAAGCTTCCTTCTATGCCCAGGTGATATTTTTTCTCATTTTTGCTACTTTTTGAGGCTTATCTTTTAAAGTTTTCATTTGGGGATTGTGAATTAGGGCTTTAAGTGTCTTTTCTGATCTTCTTTCCTTTGTTTTGAGACACTGTTGGCACAAATGAGAGTAAGCCATAAATTAGTTCACTGGCTGTGGGTCCCCTGTGCTCCAGGGGCCTTTCATGCAATCCCTGACTGGTTTGGGTTGGAAGGAACCTTGAAGCTCATCCCATTTACTCCCTAGGGTAGGGACACCTCCCACTAGCTCAGGTTGCTCCAAGCCCTGTCCAACTTAGCATTTTCAGAGCTGCTTTGGTGTTTTGTCAGCAGTGGAGTTGATGAGCTGTCTGCCTGCCTGGCTGTTGAGGAAACTTTCACTGCTCATAACAGGGCAGAGCTCCTGGGGGGCTGCAGCTCCTCCTGAGGGGCAGCTCCAATCTCTGCTCTTGATGAGCAGGGACAGGACCCAGGGAGCCTCTGGAGCTGTGTCAAGGCAGGGTCAGTCTGGATCTCAGGGAAAGGCTCTTCCCCCAAAGGGTGCTGGGCATTGCCCAGGCTCCCCAGGGAATGGGCACGGCCCCGAGGCTGCCAGAGCTCCAGGAGTGTTTGGACAGCGCTGCCAGGCCCAGGGTGGGATTGTTGGCGGGGTGTGTATAAGACCAGGGGTTGGACTGGATGATCCCGGTGGGTCCATCGCAGCCCAGGATATTCTGTGATTCTGTTGCTTCAATTCCTTTGGCACAAGAAGGTGGCTGCTCTTGCTCCCAGGACAGCTCCAGGTGGGCTCTGGGGCAAGAAAACGAAGGACGCTTAGTAATAAGAGAACAAGGACTATTCAGCTATGGCAGGAGAGCTGTAACAGAGTTTCTAAAATGTAACAGATAACGAAACCACAGTAGTGTGCAAGAAAAATTGATGTACAAGCATGTATTCTGGGGGAAAGGGCTGATGTGAATGTTAGGCACTTATGCTATTGGCTACCCAGGCGCATGACATTCAAATTCTGATAGTGAAAATATTACAAAAGCTATATGCATTTTTAATAACTGTTTCTAGTTATACCATGCCTGGGGACCGTGCTTCATTCATATGCCACAAATGGCACCCTGAGAATAGGGATTTACAATCTCTGAGGTAATTCTGGACCTGCAGTTTGCCCCACTGTACCAACGGTGGATTTCAAGAATCAGGAAGGACATCCTTTCATGGCTATGGAACAGGTTAGCCTTGCTAGTGGTAGGGGAAATTATCCATTAAAAGTGGCCAATAACATAAATAAATTAAAAACTCGCCATAAAGRCTGTTTATTGTGTGTTACAAAGGAATAAGGTTGTGAAATACAAGAAAAAAAGTTTATGCAACTCTTTATATRCATGAAAATGAACTGCCCCTGGTATCCACCTGATGGCTCATATGACCTCAGTAAATGGAAGTGAGTGGGCAATTCTTCAAAGGCTCATCAACTCTAGAATCATGAAGTTCATCCTGATTAATTCAGTACATGATGTATTGTTTATTCTGCAGCACAGTCTTTTTGCGATTCAGATGAAATATTACACCCAGCAGAAAATCCAGGCTCTGCCCCTGTACTAACAGTATGGCTTTCTCATCCTGGTTTGGTTGTTTTAGCAATGGAGGAGGGAATTAACAAGGAGGAACCTAGAGACTTAAATGGGCCTCTTCCTTTTAAATGCCATGCATTGCTGCTTGGGAGATCATCATCATCTAAAAGTGGACTTTTTATTTTACCAGGAATCACTGACTCTGATTCTAGGGGTGAAACAAAAATCATGGCTTGCACTGCTAACCTGCCCTGTACCATGCCAGCAGGATCATGCATTGCTCACCTGATACCACTCCCTATATTGCCAGGCATGCAATCGATACCATCAGACAGTGCTGACAGGGGCACGGAGGTTTTGGGAGTACAGGTACTCATAACATCTTTTGGTGTAAACTTATTTCAGTGCAACAGCCTTTTCTAACCTGTGTTATAGATGGCAAGTCTTTTACAACATTAATAGATGCCGGAGCAGACATAACCATCATCAGCAAATGTGAATGGCCACGCACATAGCCCTTGACAACTCCAGCAGCAATGATCACAGGCATCTGAGGTCAGCAAATGCCATAGCAGTCAGATAAAGAACTCATGGTATACAGGCCAGAAGGGAAACAAGCACAGCTTAAAGAGTCTCACTCAGCTTTGCCTGGACCTCTGGTGGAAGGCAAGGCAGTCGCAGGCACCTTAATGGTGGCAACGGTTCCAAATCAAATTACACAGGTGAAGTTGTCATGTTGAGTTTTATCATCAAAATATAAAAGCTTTGAGACCTTATTGGTTACCTAGGAGAACATCAAACCCACTGAAAAAGGAATGAAGACTTAAGGCATCACAATCTGAGTTTGGTAATCAGTTGCAATGGGTTTTGGCACAATACATATAGTCTTTTGTCACCCTCAGTGGATTCTCGAGGATGGTGAATGAGCATGGCTCCCACAACCAAAGACCAATGTTTGGCTCACATTAGCTAAAGCAATTAACCAATCCACTCTTTGTATATCCATGACCAGTCCTAGTCAAACATGTCYGGCTGGCATTCCGTTAACCAAGGATGAATGGAACAAGTTACACAAACAGTTACATGTGATTGTACAGCTTCAGGTGAGTGTAGATCATTGCAGTGGTGTTTGGAATCACAGCAATCTAGTGCTGCCCAAGCTGTGGGATGGTATTTGGGCAGTGCTAATGGTGGCATGAGAAAAGAAAGTGACTTCCCTGCACTCACTGCTGCCTCAAGAGCTGGAGGTGCTTGTGTCTACAAAAACTCCTGTATGTTTTTATCGCAGTTATGCTTATAGTCCAAACACAGACAGCACAGGAGACAATGTAAGTGGCATTTACCATAATGCCTCTGCCTGGTGTAATTTCGTTGTTCCCTCACAAGTCACAACAGAAATCAGTGCAATAAGCCTGTCTAGTAACATATTTTTAGTATGTGGTGACAAAGCATGGAAAGGCATTCCAGGT